CCTGCTTAATTGTGCCTTCCTGTGCATCATTAGGCAGGGAGCAAAGCAAAAAAAATTAAACACGCATTTTCATAGGAGATCCTTGCAGGAAGGCAGCCCCTCCTCAGCATTGTTTGTACTGGGAAGCTGGTCACCCCAGGTTTGGACTAGGCAGGACGCCCTCGCTGCTAGGACATGTTTACCTGCTTCTTCCTTGGTTTCCCGCTCCTCCCCCTCCAGCCCTGGACAGGAAGAAAGTTGGTGGTTCTTGGGAAAGAATTGTTCCTTTGTGTTTTCTTTCTTTTCTTCCTATGCCTAATTAGGAATTATGCTTGGGAATCAAGCTAATTAATCTCTGCCAGCCCGGGGTGAGATCAAGCTCCTCACACTATCAGCGTTGATCAATAACTCACTGCTGAGAATCTGAAAAACAACCCTGCCCCTTTCAGCACAGGCTTTAATGAGGGTGAGGTGGAATGGCCTGGGGGAGGCCTGGAATGAGTAGGTGTGGTGGCCCAGTCTGACGGGATGGAGGCGTCAGGGAAGAGGATCCTCTAGCCTGCACCTTTGAGTGTGAGGTGGCCCCCACAGGGCAGGGCTTTCGAATGCCCGAGGTCCTACAAGGCAGAGGTTGGAGCTTCATTACTGTGCTGCTTTGAAACACCAGTCTCTCTGAGCTGCGAGGGTGGTCACTGGGAGCACTCAGAAGATGGAGAAAAACCATCATGGCAAATGACTGGGTCATATTTCAGGTCAAGGTGGTCCAGAGGCCCTGCCACAGCCAGCTCCCAACACGGGGCTGCCACCTTGGCCCGTCAAGGACCAACGGTCGAGAAGAGACTTGGGCTTGAAGAAAAAAAAGGGCTGTTGAAGGCCAGGGAAATGGGAGAAAGCAAAAAAAAGAAAAAAAAAAATCTCATAGGGTCCCTAGGGACCCTGCCTGGGAGCAGGGGAGAAGGGATCTGTTTAGAGCTCCTAAAAATATCTGTGCTGTCCCTGGGGGTCCTCATGGCCTAGGCACTGGGTTAGATCTTCAGAGATACAGAAATGGGCTTTGCTCCAAGAGGGGAAGACAAGTGTTCTGTTTCTTCCCAAGGAGATAATCAAGAAACAGAGAAGAAAAAGTGGTAACTGAAAGAGACTGTGGAATTGAAGAAACCCAAAATGGTTTTATGACCTTTGGAAGTCCTAGTCTCTATCTTATCAAATATGTTAAGGGGCACCTGCCTGGCTCAGCTGGTAGAGCATGTGACTCTTGATCTCAGGGTTGTGAGTTCGAGCCCCAAGGTGGGTGTAGATTACTTAAAAATAAAATCTTGTAAACCACCCCCCAAACAAATACATTAAAGTGAGCTCAAATCCCACGTTGAAAAGTAATTTTACTTTGCTATGAAATTTTGAGGTAACTTTTAAAATTACTTTCATTTTTACAGTTTAATTTTTTTTGAGAGAGAGCGAGCGAGCAAGCTCATGCCATGGGGGTGAGGGGAGGGGCAGAAGGAGAGGAGAGAGCAAATCTCGAGCAGACTTCCCACTGAGTGTGGAGCCCAACACGAGGGTCCACCTCAAGACTCTGAGACCATGACCCTAAGCCAAAATCAAGAGTTGGTTGCTTAATGGACTGAGCCACCCAGGTGCCCCCATTTTTGCAGTTTTTTATCTTTTAGCTCCATAATATTTTTTTCAGGTTGCAAATGTTTTCACAGGCTTTGAAGGGCTTGGAGGCCTGGGGCATTGTGTTTACAGTGCCTAACATAAAAGGCTGAGAAAGCCTGGAGACTTTAGCAAGGACTCTGTCTAGTGGAGCATCGACCCTCAGTAGTGAGAAAGGAGAACCTAGCAGCATGCAGCAGTACCCCGTATCAGTTTTTGGAAAAGACTAGAGGTTTAGGGGGTGCCTGGGTGGCTAAGTTGGTTGAGTGTGTCTGCCTTTGGCTCGGGTCATGATCTTGGGGTCCTGGGATCAAGCCCCATCTCGGGCTCCCTACTCAGCGGGGAGTCTGTTCCTCCCCCCTGCTCATGCCCTCTCAAATAACTGAGTAAATAATCTTAAAAAAAAGAAAAAAAAAAAGCCTGGCGGTCTAGGCCACAGGCAACAGAAAAACCCTTTCGAGTTGCCCTCTGGAATAATTGATTTAAGAGAGAAAGAAAAAGAAGACAAGGTTATTTCTAGTCCCATGGACATGCATGCCCAGTATAGGGCAGAGTAAGAGCTCCTGGGGCTGGGGGCACTCATAGGGGAACACCCCAAAAAGATGAAGGCATTGTGGCCTTCCAAACCCAGGTGGCTACAAAGATGCCCATCCAGTAGGCAGGGACTTATCACAATGTCCCCTGAACATTGTGGACACAGCAACCTGAAGAAATTCACCAGTCTGCATTACAGCTCACAAAAATGGAGGAACGGGGTTCATCCTTCTCAGTAACACGTGTAGGTTTACTCGAATGTGGAATGGCAGTTTTTCAAACACTGATCAGCCTGTTGCGATGAGCTACGGTCCCAGTGACTGCTCCGCAAACCCTCTGGGTTTTGCCGTTTGTAGGAAGTAGCGGTGAGGTGCTGTGGAAGCTGTGGCGGGCCATCTCCATCTCCCCTCAAGGGAGAACCTGTCGGGGTAGTTGGTGGTCAGTGTCCAGGGGCAGCACCTTTGCTGCCGTGTTCCTGAGCTCTGTCTTCCCAGGTGACTCCCAGGAAATGGTTGGCCACAACAGGGACATTCCTACCTTACCATTTCTGCCCAGTGCAAGACCCTCAATGAGCAATCTTCGTGGACTCCATCGGACTGCTCGGGATTCTCTTGAGGCAGCCTAAGGCTCTTCCTACCTAATCCTTTTTCCTTCTCTTCTTTCAGATGTCAGACCTGCATCATGGTAAGGCCATTCCCTGACTATGCCTGATTCCTTTCCCTTTTGTTTCCCACTGGTACTACTGCTAACAAATTCCTCTAACTCCATGTTGGCATCTGCTTCCTGAGGACCCAAACTGACACAGCTGCCAACCCACACAATGTGACCAGCCAAAGCCTACCGGCTTGCTCTTAAAATGTGAAGGCTTAAAAAATAGTCCTAGTCCTCATAAATTGTAGCCATAGGAGGGTGCTGAAAATAAATGTTTCTTTGGATTGCCCCAAAAGAATGTAGACCACTGCAAAGATGGGTCAACATCTCTTGGGGTTGACTGGACCACCATTACCTCTCACAGGATGGCTAATGAGGAATCATCCTGGGAGCTGGTTTTAAGGAAAGCTACCAATTATTTAAAAAATATTTATCATTTATTGAGTACTTACGTGAAAGGAACTGTGGTAAGAGCTTTCCATACATTGTTTCATTCAATACTTACACAATTCTAATACCTATCTCCCATTTTTTCAGGTGAGGAAATGGAGCTAATTAGATGAGCTTGGATTTGAACTGAGGACTGTTTGATGCCAAAGCTAATACTCTTTAATCTTGGCGCATGCAAACAGTACCCACACATGTACACATGATGTGACTTAAATTTTGAGTTTCCATAGAAGAAAAAAATATAGGAACCACAGGAGAGGAAAAACAAGAGAAAAAAATGTGGTAGAGGAAGCAAAAACAAAGCCACTGAATGAAATCGGCCTAAACATTGATAAAGAGAGAAAATAAAGGCAGGGAGATTTTGTCGAAGTTTTAAATGTCTTGATCTGTTATACTGATCATGTGCTCTTGGAGACATACAACCTCTCTGGGCCTCAGTTTTTTTACAATCTATTAATGAGGCAGTTGATGAGATGATGTCTAGATGTCATTTCAGCTCTTACATTCTATATTTTCTTCTTAGAGCTTTTTACTTAGTTTACTGTTTTGTATAAAAAGAAATCAAAGTACAATGTTTAATTGCTTTCACCATATCCCACAATTAGTAAAATGATCTGTTGGGCCTCCATTGTGAACAGTGGTCTCTACAATTAACCAAGAGAAGCAATTTGCCAGGATCCCAAGAGGGTGTGATCACAACCATGTTTTTTTCTTTTTTTTAATTTTTTATGTTATTTTTTTTTTTTTTAAGATTTTATTTATTTATTCATGAGAGACGGGGGAGGAGGGAGAGAGAGAGAGAGAGAGAGGCAGAGGGAGAAGCAGGCTCCCAAGGAGCAGGGAGCCCGATGCGGGACTCAATCCCAGGACTCTGGGATTACGACCTGAGCCGAAGGCAGACGCTCAACCATCTGAGCCACCCAGGCGCCCACAACCGTGGGTTTCTTACACACAGGCCCTACATTACTGAAAGTTTGTCCAAAAAAGTTTGTCTACAGTTTGTCTCAGGTTCTTGCTTGGCATTAAGTCCTCATGGATAGTCTCTATGCATATTTTTGGTGGTGATGGGTGGGTGGCATTGTATGTGAAAACCTAGATGAAAACAGAATTTTTTACCTGAAAACAGTAAATAATACCAGTCTCTACTTACGACAGAGGCTTTTTGTAAGAAAAGGGATATAAAACATGAAGAATTTTGAAAAATGTTAATTTGAAAAGCCTCGTTTGAGTGTTTTTCCATCCTTCGCTTTTCTCTCAATCTGCAAGAGAGCAGATTTTAACTACTAATCACTGTTTGGTCAACCTCCAGAAAAAGGCTAAAAGGCCACTATCCGTAGAGAGGGCAAGGGGAGAAATACACAAGCCAGGGCAACTACAGAGTAGATTACCAACTTAGTTCCACAAGCCTGATTCTGTCCTGATGGGCTTCCCAGATAATGTAGATAATGCAGATTATGAAAAGCACTGTAAGCCTTAAAAATTCTCACCACACACACAAAAAAGCAATTATGTGAGGCGCTAGGTATGTTAACTAACCTTACTATGGTAGTCATTTTGCAATATATACAGATCTCAAATCATAATATCATCCACCTTAAACTTACACAATGGTATAATGTCAATTATATCTCTATAAAGCTGGAGGAAAAAAGAAAAGCAGTGTGGGAGGAATGAGATGGAGAAGAGAACAAAATGCATTATTCTTTAAGAGAGGAATGTAAAAAACTCACTAGTTTACTATGTTAAAAAAAAAGATGGCACATTTATTGCTACATAAATGTTATATACATATTGTGTTTTCTGTTACAGTGACAGAAAAAATTTTGAACTTCTTGCTGCTGGTTGAAAAGGTTTATCAATAATACCTTGAATTTGACACAGGATACAAATCTGCAATAAACCAACAATGGAAACTGGAGAACAAGATGAGAAGCAATTCATCTCGGACAATTAGCTCTTACAATACTCCATAGGTACTACACGGTATGCTAGAATCCTACTATGGTCTTAAAATGCTATTGTAAATTTCTGATATTAATGAACAGGTTATGGTAAATAACCCTACATTTTTACTACCTAATATAATAAAATAAAGTAAGAAACTTTTTACTGAAAACTTTTCGATTTCAAAAATCTAGAAAGAGTAATATTTAGAATTCAAGAAATTTTCTTACAAGATTATTGTATAAAAGACTAGCTACAGTGAAAAATAAGCCAAATGTTTTTTCTTTCTATTTTATGAAGGAAAGCTTCTGGGCATACTGCAAAGTCTAATATAGCGAAAAAGACAACAAGCTCTGAAGAAAAAAAGGCCAGGCAGTGGCGTATGCTCACTCACACATCATAAGCAACAACTTCTGTTTAGCTGATTAACACTGAAATGAAGAACAAGGCCACAGATAGAGTCTGATGTAATTGGAGAATATATGCAAATTAAAGTAACCAAAAAGTCCACTAAATTCACAAAAGACAGATTCGTTAGGAATCATCCTGACTGGAGGATCTGAAGTCCTGTCTTAATTGTTTTTGTTCTTTCAAATTAACAGAAATCTTTAAAGTTACAGAGTGATTTGGGTCCTTTCTTCTGTGTGCTGACTGCCTTTGTTGATACTGGCCATAAGGAATTATTAAGCCAAGACAACCTTGTTTAGCATGTTTTTCTCTCCCAGGGCTGTTGTGGTGGAAGACAGATTTCATGGAAGTTCAAAGTGATTATGATATCTTAAAAAACAACTCTGAAGGATTAGAAACAGAGGGGTGCCTTAACGGACTGTGCTAAGATGGACTGACAAGCACTGGTTTATGGGTAATCTGGCTCATCTTCTTGGGACGGGGGCAGATGGTTTGTGGTTGATTAAATCACCCACTGAATTCCTCCCCATTGACCAGCCATCCAAGTGACAGAGAAATAAAGGCGACGATAAGGAAACACGGGTGACCACTGCTCTTGTATTCCATTTGGTAATTAGCCTCAGAGTGGTGTGTTCATTTATCACACTACCTGCCTTGGTGACTACTGGGTTTTGTTACGGTCACCATAATCACAGCCTGAAAATCTTCTTTGTATTTTAAATCCATTTTTGTGCTTACTTTACAGCTAACACTTTACAAGTACTATATGTAGTACTTACTGCTTGGAAAACAAAGCAATTTCTAAGAAGTAGATTCTTCCCTTGTAATTTACACTCTTGCTATTACAAGCTTTACTATGAAATCTAGAAGCTTGAAAAGTCTTGGTTATTATTAGAAATAAAGCAATGTTTATTTTGGGGAAAATCTAGGGGACAAAATTTCCCCCTTTAAAATCTTAGCTAGGCTATGGTCACAGATGGTCTCTGTTTATCTTTGTAAGGTAAATATGCAAAGCACATAGGACTACATGAGGATTCTGGATTGTGACCATAAACTATTCAGATTCAGAGACCAAATATAACACCCACAAAGAGAAAATAAAAATGAATGAAAAAATGAGAGCGAAAGAAATGCTATACCAAGTAATATTTTCCTATTTCATGGAAAACACTATTCATATGGCAAAAGGATAGGAGAGGGCAAACAAAAGACTTTTCCCTTCCTTTTTAAGACACTAATAGGTATGCCGGGAATGCTAAGGGCCAATGGTTGTCACTGCTTTGTTCTGCATGTGAACAGCTTTAACAAATGCTGGCATCAGCTGAGTTTAGATCAGCTTTCCACATTAACTTTTTCCCTTTATATGTAGACCTTACAGTTCCATAACAATAAATAAAATTTGTAGTTACAATGCATTTGTCAATTCAGTTTAGGCACAAGGCAACTTCCACGATGAGTGGAGAGATCGAGACAGTCTCTGATTGTGCAGAAGCGACACATTGCTTGCAACAAAGTGATATGTTGCAAACACTTCATGGGCTGACGTTCTATCTGATGAGCTTCCTATCTTCACTTCTGATGGAAGTGTTGACCAGTTGCTTTGATCGTAGGATTACATTTGAGTTTCTTGCTTCAAGTGTTTTGTTTTTTCTTCTCCCTCCTAGCAGGTTTGTGTCTTCAGATAATCTGAGTTGTCCAAGTCCTTATGAGGAGAGGTCACCTTCTATCTAGCCTACTGATAACTCTGGAACTGTGGCAGGGAGAGTCAAGGGAAAGAACAGAACCAGTTAGGACATCATCATTAAAAATAAATACCTCCCCAGAAAAAAACAAGTTGATATTGATATTCCTCATTTATATCCAGGTTTATACTAAATTAGCAGTCTGCTAAATGACTTATAAAAGAGCTTCGGAATTTCTTTTAAGGTGTAATTGAAATAGTGTAAGATTTTTAAAGGAGATCATGTGATTATAGAAATCACAAGATACAGGATTATACGACAGCTGGGGCAATTACGCAAACTTCTATTTTGGCAATATTCAAGTTGCCAATACCTGAGCTCTGAGGTTCCACTCATCCATTTTTCAATGGAGAGACAATGGTAAAGCATTCACCTACTGATACATCTAGTCTACCATATTGTCTTAATAGTTTACACCTCCTCTAAACTGAAAGTTTCTGAAGGCAGGACCATTTGGTATTTGTTTTGTTTTTTTTAAGATTTTATTTATTTATCTGACAGAGACAGCGAGAGAGGGAACACAAGCAGGGGGAGTGGGAGAGGGAGAAGCAGGCTTCCCGCTGAGCAAGGAGCCCGATGCGGGGTTCGATCCCAGGACCCTGGGACCATGACCTGGGCCCAAGGCAGACGCTTAACGACTGAGCCACCCAGGTGCCCCTGGTATTTGTTTTCACAGTGGTTCCTGCTCCTGGTTCACAGAAGGTCCTCAGTAAATGTTCAATGAATGAATGAATGAATGATTAAACTTTACTGGTATTAGTACAAATTTTATACACTTAACAGTCTCAATTTACATAGTAGTAAACACTGAAATTTTCCATTTTAGCCACTTTTGATGAAAGTAATTTTACAAAGAATACCTTTCACTTCTTTATTAAACAATAACCACAGTATTGTTTTATAATAGAGTTATGCTCTTAGAAATGGATAACCGAGATATTCAAAGCTACCTGGCCTTATATCATGTGGTGGCAAATTCTGTGCTTTTCTAGTCAGTCATTCTGTGATCATTTATCAGCCATTTTGGTTCTAGCAGTCATTTTCCTGCTGGCCAGTCTTTTGCTGGTTTTTAATGTTATTCAGTTCTATAAAGAACCGAAGGTTATAAGGTGAAACCAGACAACCACCTTTTTGAAATTAGCAACCGTTAAAACATATGTTAAGATAATAAACACTTAACCTATAAAATTTTATGGAACTAAATTTGCTACATTTCTTATAACCCTGAAACTTTTTTTTTTTTTAAAGGATTCTTCATCTCTTTTTGATAGGTGAGAATGCCCAGGTTTAATTTTAACTTAAGCGGTGGAATTTCCTCATTCTTGAGATAAGGGTAGAGACATGAAAGCAGTGTTAGATATGGAAGCAGTAAAAGAATAGGAAGTAAACAGGGGAGGGAGAGAGATGTGAGGTAGGGAGAGAGACCAGGAAGAGAGTAAGAGGAAATGGCTACTAGAGACAGACAGAGGCTCTGTGATAAATGTGACAACTCAATGTCAAGTGCTCTTTTCAGGGGCGCCTGGGTGGCTCAGTCGTTAGGCGTCTGCCTTCAGCTCGGGTCGTGGTCCCGGGGTTCTGGGATTGAGCCCCGCATTGGGCTCTCTGCTTGGCTGGAGGCCTGCTTCTCCCTCTCCCGCTCCCCCTGCTTGTGTTCCCTCTCTCGCTGTGTTTCTGTCAAATAAAATCTTTGAGGAAAAAAAAAAAAAAGTGCTCTTTTCATAGCCCTGTGGCTACCTGGGACCTGAGCGTAACAAGTTACCTCATCACTCTTCTTTAAAATGAGTTGCCAATTTAGAAACATTGAAAAACAATGGCATGTTATTTTAAAACATTAAAGTCTATTTTTGAACAAAAATATCTATCTTTTCATGATATTCTATATTTTCCACAAAATATGAAACAGTGGCATGAATTTTAAAGGAACTGTACGTTAACTAACTCTTGCCTGAAGTCTCTTTGACCTGCATAATCTGTTAGGTTGCTGGGTATTGTTTTGTGGGGGAGGTGGGTTAGTTTTCTCCAGCGTGCTAAATGTTACAAGTATAACTGACACTTAGTCACATTAACCCTTCTTCCTTTTGTCCCCAAATTAACTTTTTTTTTTTTTAAAGATTTTTTAAAATTTATTTATTTGTTAGAGAGAGGGAGAGTACAAGCAGGGGGAGCTACAGGCAGAGGGAGAAGCAGGCTCCCTGCTGAGCAAGGAGCCTGATGCGGGACTTGATCCCAGGACCCTCGGATCATGACCTGAGCCGAAGGCAGCGGCTTAACTGAGTGAGCCACCCAGGCGTCCCTCCCAAATTAACTCTTCAGTTTTGGTCTAGTTTGAAATTAGGAATGATATATACAGAGGTGGTAGGAACGAAATTCTTCAGGAAAAGGTGAGTTATGTTTGTAGTTTACAAAATATCAAATTCCAGATTTTCAGCTCAGAATGAGATAGCTACAAAGCTGACCAAATGAAATTGCACTTGATATTTTTTTTTGTGCTCCACACCTCCCATTCATTCAATTTACTGCTTTTAACATGCTGATGAAATTGGGAAAAGAACTACACACTGCTGCAGGCAGATTATAAAAAAATGAAGTTCCCAGATGTATTCCTAATCCATGCTGCTAGTTAAAATATTTAATTACATTCTATATTAACTTCTGCCACCTAAATAATAACTACAATTTAGGTTGTTATAGATCATGTAAATGTCTATCTTTAAGAAAAAAGATCATTCACATTAACTACTTGGGCAACAACCTCATATTACCCTTGTCACACTGTTAAACAAAAAATCGTTAAGGAAGTGAATTGTGTTTAATCCATTAAGGGAAAGATAAAAACAGTTTTTCAACATGTAAAATTCCAGAGAGAAGGGCACTGTGGTTCTATCAGATGTAATACCTTTACATTCATTAGTAGATTCCAGAAGGTGTAATGATATGCTTACATGCTTATGAGAGAAGATGCATTGCTGATCCAAATGGAAGCAAGCAATAACTCTTTTGTGTATAAAGATTTCATGACAAGAAGAGGTAGATGGTTAAGAGAAAACTGGTTGAGAATGAAGACTATGAGTGGTAGCAAAAGTTATTTGACAGATTAGTCATTGCACTATTTTCTTCTTGGATCAGAGTAGTATTCATGTGAGAGCATATACACGATGATCCAGAGCAGGAGAACCCAAATTCTTTGTAAATTACAAGATACTATCACACTTTGAATAGTAATTTGATTTTAAAGGACATTGGCTCTCTAAGTATGGTTATACAACAGAAAGGTAAACTGTTGGGATTTCAAATTACCTGTGACCTTTAGCATGACCACTACCACCAGAGAATTCTGTTCAAAGGTTCTAGCTTAGTTTAAGATGAATCAGGTAATTTCCTTGCACTTCCTTTTCATTCCCAGACTTACCTGGCTGATGTTTACATATGACCCATAGGGTTGGTAGTTTCACTAAGCCCAGGATGGGTTCCTGGCAGTGTGGTTGGCGGCTCTGCCGATACGGCAGAAACTTTTTCTTCTTCCCTTCTCTTAAGGCAGGCTGCTTTGGGGTTAAGGTTCCTCTCTGAAACAGGGAAAAATAATTTTTATCGTTATAGTCATAAGTTAGGAATTAGGGACTCTTAGGTCTTAAACTGAACAAATTGCTCTTATGTTTTCTTTCTATGGGGATTACCACTCTCAATTTCATTCCCACACTGAATAACATTACACAGATAACAATGATGTGCTCACATAAACCCTCAGATTAAATAAGCCTCTAAGCTTATGTTTTTTAGTGAGCATTCGGTGTTTTCTTCTTATTCTGCTTCTGATGTAGTCTTCTAGGGTTTGATTTGATCTATATCAACATCTAAAGGTAAAGGCAGTTCTTTTACTGCTTTACTCAAACATTTTGGCAAGTGCTGTTGTTAGTCTACCAAGTCTCCTCAGTGTCCTAAGATATGGTACACTGGATTGATATGAGTGCTGACATTCTCTTATGTACCTGGAGAGAGACATCTGTGCTTTATCTAGAATTTTATCAGCTTAGAAAATGATAAAATAGATACCCACAGCCATTCCTCTATAAAAAATGTGCCAACTCCTCAAGGGAAAGAGGTAGCTGGCGTACTACCTCGCTTTTCTACTTTTATATGTAGAACGAGATGATCGAATGGTTCTTTCTACTGCTAGAGGTGTGATTAAAAGGGTGATAAAAACCTTCTCTACTGCTTTGTATATAAGATAGCAGAGACAACTAGATGGAATTTTTGAAGTGGGCATTTTCAAGAGTAGGGGGTCTTACTATGTGAAATAAAGGGAAAGAAAAGCCATTGGACTGGAGACCCACTGGATCAAAATCCACTTGGGAATTATTTTTCATGATATCTTTTCCTTAAATGAGTATGTATGAATTTATTTGTTTATTTATTTTTAAAGCTTTTATTTATTCATCTGAGACAGAAAGATACAGAGAGAGAGAGAGAGCATGAGCAGGGGGAGAGGCAGAAGCAGACCCCGACTTGGGGCTTGATCCCAGGACCTGGAGATCATGACCTGAGCCGAAGGCAGATTCCCAACCATCTGAGCCACCCAGGTGCCCCCTTAAATGTGTTTTAAGCACAAGGTATCTAACCCATGACAGCTTCTGGTTTGTTTTTTGTTTCTGATAATATCATAAAGTATAAGTGAAAAGTTGTTATATGTATTTTTATAAACTGATTAAAAATGTCCTAATGAATGTAATATAAAAGGATCACTTAAAATTAGTCTGTAATGAAGGGGTGCCTGGCTGGCTCAGTCAGTGGAGCGTGGGACTCTTGATCTCGGGGTGGTGGGTTCGAGCCACAAACTGGGTGTGGAGATTGCTTAAAAATAAAATCTTGGGGGGGGGGCGCCTGGGTGGCTCAGTCGTTAGGCATCTGCCTTCGGCTCAGGTCATGGTCCCAGGGTCCTGGGATCGAGCCCCGCATTGGGCTCCCTGCTCGGCGGGAAGCCTGCTTCTCCCTCTCCCACTCCCCCTGCTTGTGTTCCCTCTCTTGCTGTCTATCAAATAAATAAATAAAATCTTTAAAAATAAAATAAAATAAAATAAAATCTTGGGGCACCTGGCTGGTTCAGGTGGTGGAGCATATGACTCCTGATCTTGGTGTCCTAAGTTTAAGTCCCATGCTGGGTGTGAAGACTACTTAAAAATAAAATCTTTAAAGAAAAAATCTGGAAAAAAGTTAGTCTATAATGAAAACCGTATTTTGTAGAAGTTGTGAATTTTGTTAGATTTTCTTGAAATGGCCAGCTGAATGCAACACAGCAGGATTCTTCTTTTATGTACTTCCTCTAAGCCAAGTAAAATGTATTTGAAACATGCATTTACAACACATATTTATAGTCACTTCTGAGTTTAAAAAAAGTAGACAAAAGACTTTATTATGGTTAACTCAGCTGATTCTATTGACTATTACTCATGCACAATGATAAAATTTCATTTTAGAGTTCTTATTTTCTCAGCCCCTGCATTTAGGAAAAGACATAAAGCCTCTTCAACTATGAGGAAGATCAATGAAGAAAGAAAGGTACACACTTATTATTAGGATAAGTAGTAAAATAAAAAGCCATGTTCATCATTATGTAAAAATATCGGGAATTATTTTCTTAACAAGTAAATGTGCACTTCTAACTAATAATTAGAGTTCTTTTATTAGGTGTCATGTCCCTTTGCTGTGCAGGGAGCAGTCTCATATAATGACTGGAGAGACTGAAAAGAGAGCATAAATTAACATGTTAAATCCAAAGAGGAGAAAGTGAGATTTGAAAGTTTTCCAATTGAAACAGGTTCACATTTATCTCATAAAAAACACTGCCCTTAGCTAACTATGACCCTGTGTCACACAAAGATTTAGCAGGCATGATCAGAATAGCTAGAGAGGACCAGAGCCAAAAACTCAAGTTAGGCAACATCTTGCAAGATTTCTATGGTTAGTCAGACAAAGAACACTCAGGGCTATAAGAACCAAGAGAATAAGCTCTAGAAAATGTGAAGTGAGCTTTGATCCAAAAGAGGCAGATGCTAGTGTTGTCTTTTAATACCTTCTGGTGTGTGTGAGCAGCCCATGGCAAATGTATTAAGTAGCCAGAAGGCCTGATGTACAGGTGAGCAGACATTACCTGCAGGACATGAAAAGTGATTGTCTTTCCCACATTTCAATTACAGTAATTCTATTACTGACTTTGGGTATGTAATTCAGGACTTGGCTCTCTTAAAATACCATCTTCTCAATGTATCTAAAGCTCAAATTTTGGGGTGCCTGGGTGGCTCAGTTGTTAAGCATCTGCCTTCAGCTAAGGTCATGATCCTGGGGTCCTGGGACTGAGCCCCACATTGGGCTCCCTACTCAGCGGGAAGCCTGCTTCTTCCTCTCCCACTCCCCCTGCTTGTGCTCCTTCTCTTGCTGTGTCTCTGTCAAATAAATAAAATCGTTAAAAAAAAATAAAGCTCAAATTTTGGCTAACTGCATAGTCACTTCTTACATTATTATGACTAGATAAATATTTGTTATAATAACTATGGGGACATACTTGCAAGTCAAGAATTTTACATTGTTTCCTTGCTCGTATGACTGTTTGTTTTTCCTGAAGTTAATAGTTGCCTTGCTTTTCATTTGCTAGTAATGCTGATTTTGTCCCCCTGACCCATGCTTCAATAGATCTAACAAATGCCTATCAACATTCCCCCCCTGCCCCCAAATCTCAAACATACCATCATTTCATCTATTAATTCCATTTTCTTACCCTGGAAAGAAAATTGGGAAAAATCCCTTTCTTTCTTCTGCAGCTAGCCAACTTCTTTTTTTTTTTTAAAGATTTTATTTATTTATTTGAGAGAGAGAATGAGAGAGAGAGAGAGAGCACATGAGAGGGGAGGGTCAGAGGGAGAAGCAGACTCCCTGCCAAGCAGGGAACTCGATGCGGGACTCGATCCCGGGACTCCAGGATCGTGACCTCAGCCGAAGGCAGTCACTTAACCAACTGAGCCACCCAGGCGCCCTGCAGCTAGCCAACTTCTATTTTTTTTTTTTTTTAATTTATTTTAGAGAGAGACAGAGAGAGCACAAGCAGGGGGAAGGGCAGAGGGAGAAGCAGACTCCCCACTCAGCAGGGAGCTTGATCCCAGGACCCTGAGATCACAACCTGAGCTGAAGTCACAAGCTTAACCGACTGAGCCACACAGGTGCCCCACCACCTTCTAATTTCAATGTGTAGGCACATTGGTTTTCTAGGCCTACTAGATCTTGTCATGAGATTTCCTTTTGATGCTCTCTTGTGTTAGAGTCTTTGTTTCTTGGATCACATGGCTTGTCTTTATTGATTATGTCCTTATTTGGCTAAAGCATACGTTCCAGAAGCTTTCTGAGAACATGTATGTAGGAGGTAAAACAAATTTTTTTTTTTTTTTAAGATTTTATTCATTTATTTGACAGAGAGAGACAGCGAGAGAGGGAACACAAGCAGGGGGAGTGGGAGAGGGAGAAGCAGGCTTCCTGCTGAGCAGAGAGCCCGATGTGGGGCTCGATCCCCAGACCCTGGGATCATGACCTGAGCCAAAGGCATACGCTTAATGACTGAGCCACCCAGGCACCCCTAGGAGGTAAAATTTTAAAGTCTTTGCATATCCAAAATATCTTTATTCTATCTTCACCCTCTGATTAATGGTTTGGGTAGATACAGAATTCTAGGTTAAAAATGATTTTTTCCTTAGAATTTTGAAGTCCCTGCCCTACTATCTCCTGGAATCCAGCATTATTTGTCTAGGAGTCTGATGATATTTTGATGAGGGGTCCAATTTTTTCATAGCAGACAGGCCTTTGGTTAATCTTCCTGTTTTCAGGTAATGCCTTCTCCAATATTAGCACCTCCAAAGAACAGGGCCTTTTGGGGGAAGCCTGCTTCTTCCTCTCCCACTCCCCCTGCTTGTGTTCTGGAGTTTTGTGAGACAAAATGATCTGCTTCTTGTTGGTATTCCTCCCTCCCCCACTTAATTTCTTCTGTCTAAATAAGTCAATTACCATTACTCTGTCTACTTTCCATCTTACATACATATTTTGCTCTCTGATTTGGATATTACAATCTTTTCTCCCATCTGTCCTTGTGGATTAATACTATTTTTATTCATTTCATTGAAGATTTAGTAAGGAGTATTATCAATGACTATGCTAAGACTACTATGTATTACCGTATCACTGCAACTAAATTAAAATCTCCTAAGGGTAGGGTCTGGAAATTTGGGAAAAGGAAAAGCCTCAGGTGATTCTGGGACCAGCCAGATTTGGGAACCACTGTCTTAGCTCATTTATCTTCAAACTTACTAAGAGACCAGGAAACTAAAATCCTAATAGTTCTATTGTCCCTAAATTATTACTGGAAGAGAAGTAAGCTAATTGAGCGGACCTGTGAAACTTTGAGGAGGAAATGTCTGACCACGAATCTAATCGTTAGTAAAGGTGAGAGTAGAAACTTCAAAGTAATATGTAAAATCTATTGAGGATTAGTAAAATTGTAATGTTGACATTATAGCTCTCATAATGGAAAGGTTTAAATTGGCAATGGCAGGGATCAAGTAGAATTTGGTATGTGAAGCACCAAGGCACAAAAAGTGCTCTGGCAAAATCTGAGGCTCAGAAGGGAAGCCACTCCTTCTGCTCTTCTCCAGAATACACTGCTGGTTGCCCTCCTGATATAGACACTTGTCCAGGGATGACAGGTTGTGGATAGCCAGATACAATCTTGAAGCACTATCCCAAACCAGAAGGTGAGGAAAAAGAGTGCAGAGAATGCCCAAAGTAGTCATGTAAACAAAATGTACCTCTTTATAGAAACTGCTGGGCCCAGGGACTGCTAGGTAGAACCCTTGTAGGGATGAAAAGGCTCTCAGATGTAAACAGGTTACTCACATAACTCAAAACTGCTGGAGGTAATGCCCAGAGAAGACAGTGGTCATACTAAACTCTAAAAGTGCTGCCATAGCAAGGGAGAGGTATGTGGGCTGCATGAAGGGTTCTAAATCCTCTTTGACAGACAGCCATCAGAGTGCCTTTCAGGAAGGATCTTGAATGAATCCCAAGGCTTTTACATTAAAGACATAAAATAAAAGCTCTGGGCTTTGAAGCCCAGAGTCTGAGGATGGGAGGAAGGTAGGCTTTTATGAATATGAAAGCAGCCCCTTACTGAAGTTACAGTCAGTGTATTTTAAATTCTGTTCAAACTCTAATCAGTCAATGGCTCCTTATATAGAGCTTTCCAGAACTCCACAAAAAAGTCAGTACCCATTAACAGTGACCAGAAAGTTATCAGGCAGTTGGATGAGCTTAGCTGTTACATCTTCTCTCAGACTCAGCTTTTCTGTCCTAGCTACTTACATGGAACCACTACAAAGTAAAATCTTACAAGTGAATGAATAAAATCCACCCAGGAATGGTGGAGTTTACAACTTTTTTCAAACACAGAGGTATTTCTCATTTTGATGACTTAGATCTGAGAGTAGGTACCTCTGATCTTAAACGAAATGTTTTTAAAAACAAATGACTCGTATTCTAGCTTTAATAAACAGTGGGAAGGAAAGCTGTACAGGAGTAAGTTCTGGCACCACTGCTGTCCAGGTAGTGACAAGAGTCTTGACAACAAATGGCTGGGGAGAATCAGGGCAGAAAATATCTTGGGTATGCAGAGCAGAAGGATGAATGTACTGGGACCAACAAACACAGGTGCCTCACTGCCTTCAGAGTGAGATAAAAGGTGTCAGACACATGGAAAAAAAAAAACAACTTTGATGAAGTGACAGCAGATACTGAAGGTTCAAGGAACCACTGATCCTACCACAGATGAACAGACAACAATCAGACTGTATGAGCATCCCAAGGGAGTCTACACATTCTTGAAAATCAGGTTTCATTAACATTTACCCTTTACAGATATTCCAAGGGCCTTAATAGGAGCAAGTATCTGGTTTTAATGGTGGATTGGTTATGCATGAAATAATCTACTCATCATTCTTATTTAAATATACTGGAGGGAAGTGGATGGATCAATTCATTACTATGGTTAAGTTTTTCTGAAAGTGTATTCAAGTTCTCTAAACTCTAGTTTCCTTAGATAGAGTGTTCTTTCTGTGACCAATGATGAGGGTCCATGGTTACAGTTGTTATTCTTTTTTCTTTTCTAACTTTCTTTAAATAAAATCCCATATAAACATCCACTAAATAAGAAAGAGTTGTTCTTAATGAAGAGAAGGTAGAGGTAGGGTTTGGAATCCAAGGGCACATCTATAATTCTTTGCAAAAAGACTTAGGATAAAACATTCATAAGTCTGGATAAGAAGACAATGAGGTATATGAAAAAAATCAAGCTGAATGGTAAAAACTTTCAGTGGCAAGAAGCTTGTATTGATTGGTAAGATAGGATCTAGCATATAGGTGACTGGGACAGGCGGTGTGCAATAAACACTTGTTCAAAAAATGAAGTTTCAAAGCTTCTTCAATATTCCATCAAATTTCTTGAAAGATAAAACAGCTGGGGCACTTGTCTGAGTCAGCAGTGGATAAGCCTGTAATAAACCATACTTCTGCCCTGAGAAACACACAACCATGTCAGTGCATATTAGGCCAAGAAGTTCATGGCATTCCTGATCAGGGATCAACAATTAAGCCCTAAGACCATATTGACCTGGGTATAAAGAACATCCATATGAAGTAAAGCCAGGAGGGGCCAGGATCAGGCATCCTATTAATCAGCAAGGCCATTTTAATAGATGGCCCAGGGTAAAGCAGGCAATAAATTCCATACAGAGAACGGGGAAGACAGGAAGGAGCAGGGAGGAGAACAGGTCTGGGCAGGTTAATTCAACAGTGTGGGAGACCAGACTTAACAAGAACAAGAACAAAGGGGCATAAAACACTAATGCTGAGCAGCAAGCAGAGGCTGGCTATTCTCTGCAACATTTCAAAGGACTGTGCTCTACTGGTTTGTGGGAAGGATCAAGCCTACAGATATTGACGAATATTATGAGACAGAGGTGAGAGAACTACAGAGAAAACTTGATCCAGATGATGCAGTGGTAGAAGTACTAGTTGAACTTAACAAACGACTTCCCAAGCAGAAGAGCAAGTGGAAAAAGAAATGTCTGCCCACCTAAGCCAGAATAGTTTTGTATCTTTGTTGAACCTACTTACCTCTGACTTGCTGCTCTAGACTAAGGATGACTGCCACGGCCTGATGAAGAATAAGGAGTTTTGTTTGAGGTTTTTCACTCTTTAAATGGAGCTGACACATTCGACCAAGCTCTTTGAATGCCTCGTTAATATCCCTCACACGTAAACGTTCTCTAGCGTTGTTAGCCATCCGCCTTTCTTTCTCCCTTTCTATCTTCTGTTCTGGGTTCAAATCCTCATCTTCATTAGTACTGCTAGAAAACAAAGTAACAACAATGTCTATTAAGTCCCTATAAAATAAGATATGCTCATTGTATAAAATTATAAAGATGGAAATGAAAATTACCCATAAATTTTACCAAATAGTAGTCATAGTTACACTTAACATGATTATATGTATCTTTCCAGTCTTTCTTTAATGCACACACATATATATATGTAGTTGAAATTATATCACATACATTTTCAAAAAATTTTTATTTATTTATTTATTTATTTATTTAGAGAGCAAACACATGTATAAGTGGAGAGAGGGGCAGAGAGAGAATCCCAAGCAGACTCCACACTGAACGTGGAGCCAGATGATGCAGGGCTTGATCTCACTACCCTGAGATCACGACCTGAGTTGAAATTAAGATTCATACACTCAACCGAGTCACCCAGGCACCCCACCACATACATTTTTAAATGCATTTTCCATTGCACATTCAGCATAAACACTTCTCCATAATAGTGTAACTCTACATAATTTGAATGACTACATAATATTCTAATGCCTTGCTACTCAGAATGTGATCAGTAGCATCAGCATTACTGGGAGCGTGTTAAAAACACAGACTCAAGTTCTATTGCAAGCCTATTGAATTGGAAGCTACATTTTAACAAGATCCCTGGCTGGTTCATATGTACATTAAGGTTTGAGAAGCACTGTCCTAGTACACTAATGTATTATAATTTGCCTAACCTGTGCTCCTAAACACGTTACAAATCATCTCCCTCAGATGTTTTTTTTTTTTTTCTCACTTGGTAAGAAGGAGGAAGAAAAGCTTAAGACACAGAATGAGAGAAGTATCTCAGAAAAGGACTACTTTTTGTTTCAGAGAGAAATATCATCAGTGGTGATGATTCTAAAACATAAGTCATGGGGTGCCTGGGTGGCTCAGTCTGTTGGGCGTCTGCCCTTGGCTTAGGTCATGGTCTCAGGCTCCCTGCTCAGTGGGGAGTCTGCTTCTCCCTCTCCCTCTGCTCTCTCTCGTTTTCTCTCTCATGTGCATGCTTGCAGTCTCTAATAAATAAAATCTTAAAAAAAAAAAACCATGAATCAACTGGAACAATTTTTTTGAAGGACAAATTGGCAAAATGAACCCAAAGCCTTAAAATGTTCATTACGTCTTTTTTTTTTTTAAAGATTTTATTTATTTATTTGAGAGAGACAATGAGAGAGAGAGAGAGAGCACATGAGAGGAGGGAGGGTTAGAGGGAGAAGCAGACTCCCTGCTGAGCAGGGAGCCTGATGCGGGACTTGATCCTGGAACTCCAGGATCATGACCTGAGCCGAAGGCAGTCGCTTAACCAACTGAGCCACCCAGGCGCCCTGTTCATTACGTCTTGATCAGCAATTCCAACTTTAGAAATTCATCCTAAGGATATAAATAGAGATGTACATAGGAATTTATGTAAAAAAGTTGATCACAGAATTATTTACTTTAGCAACTAATGGGGAGTCCAATAATAGGACACAGGTTAAATAAATCACAGTACATCCAGACAACTGTCTACTATGTAGTCTCTAAAAATTAAGCTGCAGATTATGCTAATAAGTAAAAGATGTCAGACACAAGACTACATACTATGATTTACATGAACCTCTAAAAAAGACAAAGCTCTAGTAATGGAAAAGCAGATGAATGGCTGCCAGGGGATGGAAGAAGGGTACTGATTACCGAGGGCCATAAGGAAACTTTTTGGGGTGGTAGAAACATTCTATATTATTAATGTTGTGGTGGTTATAAAACCATATACATTTGTCCAAGGACAAAAACTGTACACTTAAAATTGGTGTATTTTATTCTATGTGAATTAAACCTCAATAAAGCTGGCTAAAAACAAAGGAAAAAACATTTGAGAAAATTTAGGGACAGATGAAAATACTAAAAATACACTGTTATATGAAAAAAGTTGATATTATAAAACATATCCAGTTTAATTCCAATTTAAACTATATTTATGGGGTATCTATTCCTTAAAAAGTAAACAGCAGTTAATTCTTGATAGTTCAGTTTGTGATTTTTGTATTCTTTTCTGTATTTTCTAAATTTCTGTAATGAAAACAGATTAAGTAATCAGAAAAAAAAACATTTGAGGGAGATGATTTGGAATAACTTTTAGAAAATTCTATTTATATTTCAGAAATAAATGAGCAGAGTCTCTCAGAACCCTGAAATAATATGCACAAATAGATGTTTTCTCTGCTCCAATAAACTTGAGTACTGTAATAAAGATTAAGTACACAGATTTTTACTAGCTAATTGTCCAGAATTACATAAAAATATTCTTTTATAATAGAATCACTAGCTCTTTTACTTCAAAGGAAACTTTACAGATAATCTAGCTCAAAGGTTTCCAGATGTGGCCACCCATCAGAATCTTCAGGGGCACTTGAAAAATACAGGTTTCAAAGGTCACACTACCGGAGATGCTGATTTAGTGAGCTTGGGATGGGGCCAAGACAACCTGTATTTCTAAAATGTTTCAGGATTTTGTGCATTAGGGCTGAGAACTACTGCTAGATCCAGAGAAGTCAGTGACTATCATAGGATCACCCAGCTAATTAGTGGCAGTGTAATGACAAGGACCCAGGTAAGTGTTCCATGGAAGTAAGGCTACACCACATACCTAAAATTATCATCATCGTAACAGTAACTATAGTACTTCACCAGGTATTTACTGCATAAAAAGAGTGTGCAAAGGGCTTTATATGCATCATTTTCAGTTTATTTCCATAAGAATCCTATAATAGAAAGTCTCTTTTTAGAGGAAAAAAAAAAAACAAAAACAAACCTAAAGTTCAGAGTTTCAATAAATTGTCCAGGGTCACTTGGCAAGTATGTGATGGAGTCATAATTCAATCCCAGGTTAACTTTATTTATCCAAAGACCATGTTATTAACCTATTAACTATCATTAATTACTAAGCATTGCTGTTATTAGTAAACTATTATACTGCCTTCTCAATTTCTGATGACCTATAATAGGGTTCAGTAAACTATGGCCCATGAGCTGGCTCCCTGTTTTCTTACATAAAATTTTATTCAAAGAGCTATGCTCACTTGTTTATGTATTGTCTTTGACTGCTTTTATTATAATGGCAGAGTTGAGTAGTTGTGATGGAGACCCAATGGCCCACAAAACATAAAATAGCTACTGTCTACCCTATACATGGGAAGTTTGCTGAACTTTGACCTTTAAGATGAAAAGATGAATAAGAAGGAAAGATGCAATTTATTTATCTTAAAATTACATTTGAAAAATTAAACTATTAAAGAATTAAGATGCCTCAAAGGAATAGTCTCTGGATTCCGTGACCCAGTTTTTACTTCTTCATTCCCCTGTACAACTGAGTACAAGGCATATTAGAATGACAGTATTAAGCGGCACCTGGGTGGCTCAGTCAGTTAAGCATCTGTCTTCAGCTCAGGTCATGATCCCAGGGTCCTAGGCTCCCTGCTCAGTCAGGAGTCTGCTTTTCCCTCCCTTTCTCCCTCCCCCACCCTCAGCTCATGCTCTCTCTCACTCTGACAGTATTAGAACCTTAAGATTTAATTTTTAAATTAATTTTCAATTTAATTTTTTTAGTTATATCTACCATACTCATCGTGGTCTCCTTTGCACCCTAATTTAATACAAAGAACAATGTTTTAAATATCTATATGTGATATATACATATTATTGATGCCAAAAAACAGGATACGCCAAAAATATATACCAAACCATCTAAATTTAATGTAGAACTAGAAGAAAAGTCTGAGGGAAGAATCTGGAAATCATTCGAAACTAATGTACTGTGTGTCAATATCCATACTGCAAAGCAAGGTCAAGTCTGATTTCTAAAAAACCTTCCTCAACATCAGTCCACCTGGAGTATTTCCTTTTCCATACTTCTCAAATTATTGTTTAAATCAGGAGTTGGCAAACTTCCTCTGTAAAGGGCCCGATAGTAAATATTATCAGCTTTGTGGGCCATCTGGTCTCTGCTGTGACTACCCAAATCTGCCTCGGCACCGGGAAAGCAGCCATAGACCATATGCAAATGAATGAGGTATGGAAGTGTTCCAATAAAACTTTATTTATAAAAATAGGCCATGGGCCACAGTTTGCTAACCTCTCGTTTAAATCATACAATAGAGTTTTACCATAAACATAGTGTTAAAAAATATATTCAAATATTTATTGGTAGAATGTATCTAAATGTCTCCAAATGCACGATTTAACTTGTTTTATTTTGTGCTCTAACTGAAGGGAGAGATATAATTCTTCTTTATATGTAGCCCCTAAAATATTGTGGTATAATGGAATACCTAATTTTGGAGTCAGCATCATATGCCTCCCTTTTTAAGGATGCTATGAGCACTAAATGAGGTAACATATGAAGTCCCAACACAGTACTAGAACATAGCTGACACTTAATAAATGCATGATACCTTTCAATTTTCTAAGTATTTTCCACCCATGGCAAGTGAGTGAAATGTAATACCTGAACACTAACAAATACCTTGTTCTGCCTCTAGATGAAACCTTGATATCTTTTTGGGAGGATTCATCATCTGATTTCATGTCATCTGATGAAGGAGGTTCATGAAGGTTTTCATCTTTTTCTTTGTTTTCAGTCTTGATTTCTGCTGGAACAACAGTTCCAGACTGACTTTGCAAGCCACCTAACAAAGAGGCAAAGAAACATGAATGTTCAGAATTAGAACTAAGACAGTAAAAAGCCTTCTAGATGGTGAAAATTTTTATTTGTTACAGGACTATGGTGGAAATCTGAAGATGTAGGATAATATACTATTTAGAGCTAGAAAGAAGAGATCCACAAACCTTGGAGAAAATGATTTTTAAAGCAACTATATTTAAAAGAAGAAGTCTGGGGCACCTGGGTGGCTCAGTGGGTTAAGTGTTGGACTCCCTGCTCAGCGGGGAGTCTGCTTGAGATTCTCTCTTTCCCCCCTCCCTCGACAGCCCTCCTCAAATAAATAAATAAATCTTAAAAAAAAAAATAAAAGAAGTCTGACCTTGATGGTCACTCTAATGCTTACTTTAAGGCACTATTTAACAACTGAATAAGTATGAGAAACTTGATGCAGTTTAGAAACTGACTTCGAAGGTGCTGCTAAGGTAAAGGAAATAAGTTTTAACATTTTCCCAGATAAACACAATAAAATGGGTTGCATGGTTAAATATAACTGGGAAAACTTTACTTTGGTGGTCTTAACATTGGTTATATATTTGTACTTATAAGCTCTGTTATAACATTTGTCAGTTTTTATCAGAACTGTCTCTCCAATTAAATTAAAATCTTCTAAATAAAAGCTACTATCATTTGGAGCTCTCAACATATTCAGAAAAATTCCTCACTGCCTCTAGGGACCATGAGGGCTCAGTCACGAGGGGAAGTGACTAGGAAAGAGACATGACAGAAGCAGGAGCAGGTAAGATCACCGGTAAATACTTTTTTTTTTTTGCAAGTGGTTCTATCCATCAATAAGTATCTACAATTGGCCCAGCCAAATGGGGCAATTGGAATCCTAAATATCCACCCTCTATATTCAGTAGCACTGCTGTTTGGAATTGCCCCACCTAAGATGACTTTCGATTCACAGATGTCAATCTGCTTGTAAGAAAGATGACAGTGTTCCAAATGACACCTCTGTATGCATTACTGCTGAACACCAACAATACAGTTACCTCTGTAATTTTCTTGTGTTTTGTGGTTCAAGTCTGTGCTTGAAGCAGTGACCGTACTAGACAGGACTGAATGATTGCCATTGAGACTGACAGAGTCTTCTCGATGAGTTCCAACCTAAGGTTAAAAAAAAGAAAAGAAAAGAAAAGAAAAGAAAAGTCAAGACAGTTCAGGGGCAATAATTGTTTAAATTCTTTTAATGGGTTTAATAGAGAAAATGACATCTATCACTCATCTGAATTTAACAACTTTTTTGGGATGCTACTTTTCTGATTTTTGGATTTCAAAAGACTTGATGGTACCACTGCTTTTGAATCAAAATATAAAAAATAAAATTCCAACTTTCAAATTTTATATCCCACAGAAGGTTTTTGTGTGACGCAAATGAGCTAACAGAGATAAAGCACTCTATAAGCCATAAAGCACTACACATTATAGCATTTATTAATAACCCTACATCAATCAATCTGAAAATCTATTCCATATACATATTCTATATGTATGAATTTGCATTTAACAAAATATTGCTACACTCCAAGTAATAATAGTATTTATCTATACTTTGGTATACCCTTTCCTCACACACATATATAGTGTGTTGTTTTTTCTTCTTCCTCTGCCTCCCTCAAAAATTTTAAAAGAGGAGCAAAAGCAATACAAAATGAAATTAACTTAAAACAAAAGTTCTGCATTGCCAGGCAACAAAAATGACATATATTTTTATTGTTTTAATCAAACTTACATAAATCACAATTAGCCTAAAATTAGAAGGTAAGGCATGCAAATACCACCAAGTATTTTAGCTATAGCAATATTTTTAGAAAAACTGGTTACAAATGAAGCTTTTTATTAGAACAGTAGCACATGTGCCACCTACAAGATTAAGCCTTTAATTAAAGAGGTTTATTGCTTGGAGTTATATATAAGAATCACTGTTTTTCAACAAATCCTTCAATCCCAGCAAACTCTTTTGCTTTGAATCCCTCTTGAGTAATTAATATAGCTTTTATCTTTCACGACTTTGTATGCATTTTACCCTAAGAGGTATAAATACCCCTTATGCAAGTTTATCTTTTGGTTTCCTGTGAGCTAAACAAAAGGCACCAAAGCAAAGTTTCAGGCAACAGGCCATTTGGTACTGGACTTGATTAGAACACATCAGGTCTTTCACCATATTTTTTAAGAAATGTCTGTTCTCCACCCTTATTCTTATTTTTAATGTAGTTTTTCTTTTTAAATTTTTCTGAGGGGGGGGTGGCTCAGGAGAGGGGAACAGAGGGAGAGAGAGTGAGAGAGAGAATCTTAAACAGGCTCCATGCCCAGTGTGGAGCCCGAGGTGGGGCTCCATTTCTCACAACCCTGAGATCATGACCTGAGCCAAAATCAAGAGTCAGACACTTGACTGATCCATCCAGGCGCCCCTTTAATGTAGTTTTAAAGATTTTATTTATTCATTTGCGAGAGAGACAGAGAGAGAACAAGCAGAGGGAGAGGCAGAGGGAGAGGGAGAAGCAGACTCCCTGCTGAGCAAGGAGCCCGATGTGGGACTCGATCCCAGGATACTGGGATCATGACCTGAGCCGGAGGCAGACGCTTAACCATCTGAGCCACCCAGGCGCCCCCCCTTTAATGTAGTTTTAAAAAACCCACTTAATGTATTCGCTATCTACTTTTAAATTTATTTGAGGATTAGTCATTGCTGAGGATTAGTTGCTTTCTTTGCTTGCTATGAACTACTTAATGATCTAAGGAGGTCAGTTCAAAAATCCCGTTTATAAAAATAAATATAGTATAAATACAATATATAGCTGCAAAACCTTTGGGGCTTTAGGAGCGTAAGCCTATTCTAAAGATAAATACCACCAGAACAGTTTTGACTGGCTGAAGAAATCATTGCAGGACAAAGTAAAAGCTAAGATTTCTGTGTTTGTGTTTATAATGTGAACTTAAAAGTTCCTGTGATCTTTGGTAATATGTGCTAAATTTTGTTCTTACCTAGTATTTCGAGCTATCACACCAAGTAGTTAAAAGAAAATGGCCTTTTAAAACTTAAACTTTTAAACATATGTATATTTACTCTATACTATATGTGTACAACTCATTTTACAGCTCTGTAAGATAATACCATCGAACAGCCACAGACTGAATTTCCATCCAAGTGATAAGTGATGGTTCGGCTTCTGAATTCTTCTTTTTATTAGTAAAAACAATTCTTTGATTTTCTGAATCTCAACTAATAAAAATGTTCTATCATTTCCTTTCTGATGAAAGGCCTGGCAGACAAAAGATCATTATTGAAGTAAATCTTAGGGATTTTGCCTTTACCTGAAGGAAAATCAGACAGTTGATCAATTTGTTTTGGGATATAAATGCCAGCAAATATTTTCATCTCTTTGGAATACTACAAACTAAGTATTTTTTTTGGCTCCCCCACCCCCCCAAAAAATTAAACCTTTAAAAAAGGTTTAGACTAGACTCAGACTAGCAAAAAGCTTGAAGTCTGGAGTTTTTCATGTTAATGAAGTTAGCAGGAACTTTTTTTTTTTGGTAACTCGATTCCCTGTGCAAATGGCCCTCATATATTTTCTGGAGAATTTGACTTTCACAGTTCTTAAAGTTCTATTTAACCCTTGCTCACACTGGCTCCCATGTCCTCCTTTTAATCTGCAGCTACCCATTCAAATGGCTCTGTCCACAGACACAACAGGTGTATAAACAGTTCTTTGTCTGAGCTCAGAGACTGGGCCAGCCAGATAGGACCCTATGTTTAATTGTTCCTCTCGTTAGCATACAGCTGACAGGCTGCTGCTACTGGGGGAGTAGTGGAGGAAGGAAAACCCCTAGGTCTGCTATGCTCTAAATTTCAATTATTATGAAGAGCTCTATTTCAGAATAAAAGGCCCATCTCATTAAATGACATCATCCTGCATTCTGAATCTTCACAATCTGTGTATGGCCTTACTTTTGTGGGAGCACCCAACAAGGGACCTGTTTTCATTTAATTTGGCCAATAGCTTTAGCACCCACAATAGAAAAATGCTAAATCTAATTAGTTGATGAATAAGAGGTCTTGTGAATTAAGGAGCAGACTGAAAAGTACTCAGTATGAATTCCTCTCTGATTCTGAATTCTATTCTAATAATTTGTTCCATTTGTACTGTTCACTGAATACTAATGATTTAAATTAATCAGTATTAATCTACAGACTGATTAAAGGATCTTTATGTTCTGTGTGTATTTTGTTTTACCTAAAGAGGGGTTTTAAGCTAGAAACTTGGTAGAATATGGCTCCTTTTTAATGATATTGTCATAAATATATAACCTATATGGTTTTCAAACTTAAAAAAGTTGCCATTTGGAACAATTCTGAATTTAAAAACTGGTATCAAATCTCTTAAGAACCACTATAATGTAGTTTTAATGAAAAAAAATTAAATGGCCTATTCAGGAAAAAATTGGTTAGAAAAAGAAATATACAGTTAAAAATAAACTCCTTCAAATCATCTGAAGCCTAGACACACAATTTCTATGGCATACAAGCCTATACTAATAAAATTAAATACTGTCTAAATATAAGGTTAAAAGAATTGCAAATGTGCTATGTGACAAAAGTGCTGATTTTGAAAAAATATTTCTTTATTTGCCTGTTAGTCTTTAATAACTTTATCTTACATCTCTTAGAACTATTTTCTAACTGCTTTAGGATTTAGAAAACAGACATAATTTATATTTTTAAATCATTATATAAGAAACTTTAAATCCTACAATTTAACATTATTTATTCTGTCATACAAGAACACCAGACATCTCCAACCACAGCTTAAACAACAAAAACCCAAACAATTAAAAAGAAAAATTAAAAGAAATGGCTGGATTAAATTTCCTTAGTACTTATAACAAAGAAATCAAAAATTTTGTATCATAAATGAGGAACTTTTTAATATTTGCATCAAGTTTCCATTAATACAAAAAGCTTCTAATACAACTAAGTATGAAGTTGAAATCACTGTTAGAGGAAGGAGTACTTTCTGTTAAAGATAAAAGTGATATCCTGAGCTATCTCATTGGGCCTCAGTATTCTAGATATTACACAACCATAAGCAGATATGACATACAATAACTTTATACTGTTGAGACTTCTTCATAATGCCCAAATAAAATTGACAATTCTAGTCCTTTTCGGTTTTCTACTTAATATCAGTATTTTTTCTTGTTAGCAGTTTATTCCAAGAGTTTATTCTTACACTAAATAAGTGGCAGCAGAACTGAAGTCCAATGCTGACATTTTTTTAAGATTTTATTTATTTATTTGACAGAGAGACACACACAGCGAGAGAGGGAACACAAACAGGGGGAGTGGGAGAGGGAGAAGCAGGCTTCCCGCTGAGCAGGGAGCTCGATGAGGGGCTCGATCCCAGGACTCGGGGATCATGACCTGAGCCGAAGGCAGATGCTTAACGACTGAGCCACCCAGGCGCCCCAATGCTGACATTTTAATAGTTCTAAAAACCCTGATTTTGTGCTTTAAAATTTAAACAGTATACCAATCATATCCTAGTAAGAGTACCCGACAAAAAAGTCTTAAGTTTTATATTTGCATTCAGCAAATATGGAGAAATCATCAAAAATATTGAAAGGGAATATGAAATTAAGTAAATGAAAATGTTAACACCATTCAAAAATAAGAGCAAATATTAAGACTATGCCAGGCTGTCTATACTAATTATATTTTAAGAAGCAGGAATTATTCATTTCTTAAGTTTCTTTTTCTGACATAGTAATCTTTATAAAAATTTAATTTTTGTGTGTATTAGTTAGATAGCTAAAATAACGTTAAAAGCTTTCTGTGGTTGAAGCCTCATTTAATTCTAAACTTTGAGGCTGGTCAAGTTCAGTTAAAAGTAACAGTCAAAATTAAATCTTTTGATTTTGGCTCCTATTAACATATGTTTTTGGCAGTTGGTAGTCTTATCTCCTTGGTGTGAAATACAAAAATCTTTTTCTGGAATAATTAAAAAATACCAATGATTTCATCTATAAGACAAGAAAATGGATCTTCCACAAATCAATACTATCAGCTATGGATGACTTTTACTGACATAATCTTACAACTGAAAACAATGTAAAGAAAGTTTATCAGCAACAAAGTTATTTCCCTGACCAAGGGACACTATTTTGATTAAGGCTGTCTATGTAGCCTTATACCACGAGTAATCTTGATAGCACTGCAGGCTGAGAGCTGGGCTGTCTGTACCACTTTTATCTTGACATCAACTCTTATTCTTCTACTCTAAGTGTATTTTGGCTTACCTCAATCAAGTATTCCAACTACTGCAACAAAACTCCCAAACTAATCATTAAAAAAATAAGCAAACAGTTTTAAGGCTCCAAGAAAAAGAAAAAAACTTGCTAACCCTCATTACCTGCACTGGGAGGCTAATTTATGTTGCAATTCAAAAACTGGCAAGGTGTGGCCTTTTGGCCAAAGGTGACGAACAATGAAAGACTATGGACTCTGGTCCTGGTGTTTTACAAATTAAGGAGCTCTTTTTTTGTAAACAAAGTTTTATTGGAACACAGCCACACCCATTTGTTTTCATAATGTCTATGGCTGCTTTCATGTTACAATGTTAGAGTTAAATAGCTGTGATAGAGACCAGATAGCCTGAAAAGCTGAAAATATTTACTATCTGGCCTTTTACAGAAATATGGTGGATCTCTCTTCTAAATACTAGGAGAGAAAGCAATATCATATTTAAAACCTGCAATTAGGATGGTGACCCACAGTAAATGCCCATGAGAACAAAAATTTATTTGAATGTTCTGTGGAATTCCTGAAATGGTATTTATCAGAATAATTCTATTCTCTGCAGAAAATAAATGGAATGATGAAAATTACATATTTTAGAGAGAAGCTGACCTTACAAATTCTTTATATATATATATATACATATATATATATATTTGAAGATTTTATTTATTTATTTGACAGAGAGAGAGACAGCGAGAGAGGGAACACAAGCAGGGGGAGTGGGAGAGGGAGAAGCAGGGAGCCCGACATGGGGCTCTATCCCAAGACCCAGGGATCATGACCCGAGTCAAAGGCAGATGCTCAACGGCCAAGCCACCTAGGCACCCCGACCTTACAAATTCTATATGGTGATACAGAATTGTTGGTAAACTGATATTTCTGTGGTTACTTCATAATTTTGGCCATGTAACCTCCATTTTTAGAAATCTTTAAAACAAATACTAATTTATGTGAATATAGAGGAAAAGTATAAAAATTACCAGAAAGTCAAACAGGACCAAAAAGGAAAAGTGATTCTAGAATGTAAAATTGTGTCATTTCTTAGTTGTCATCAGTTAGAATACAGAGGGGAAAGAGGGAGTAATAAAAGCAGGAGATTAATTCTTAAAGATGGCTGGCAATAGCTGTAATGATATGTCCCCCCAAATCACATACCTTCCAATCATATGAAAAAAGTTGATTTCACATAGGTGGGTACTAGGCGTGTAAGCAGGGGGCTCCTGCACTGCTGATGTCCTCAGACATCGTAAGAGCCGCTAGGATAAGAACCTTCCTCAACAGGATGCCTAAGACTTAGGTGGGAGAATCACTGGCTTACTATGAGCTTCATTTCATTCTATCCTTAGATCTTTTTGCTGAAATTGAGAACTGAGAACTCACAGCTAAACTTCATTTCAGAAGGATGGGAGATGAACAGTGACTCACCTGACAGTTTCAGATTTTTTTTGTCAGTTAATAACTTTTATATTTTGAGGGTAAGCCTGTCAGAAACATGTGGCCCCACCTCCACTACTGACTGTCTGGATGGGGTGGGTGCAGCAGATGACATCCGGCAGGTTTTCACCAGCTCCACGTCCTCCATGACCTGGAGAGAGGACCTCGCTAGACATACGGAGCAACAGCGTGGGCTCAGCTGCTGTAGCACTGCTGCTGCTGCTGCTCAGTCTAAGCCAGATGCACCCCCCGGACAGAAGACTTCTTTCTAGACTACTTTTTTTTTTTCCTTTTAAAAGAATATTTTTGGCAGCCTTTTCGCTGATGCCTCTGAAGTAGGCAGCATATTCCTAGAGGATATAACGGAAGCTACTTTTTTAATTAAAAATTTCAGGGCAGTATCTAATGAAAGTTTTCTCTCCACAAGTCCTTCTAAAATGCACTAGATTTCTACATGGCTTTGTAGGACTGGATTTTAAAAAGTCGCTTTCCAACTCATACCCAAAGTTCATAAAAACAACCACCTGAAGACAGAAGTTCCACTTTATACAAACTCTACATTTAACTGGGAGGAGCCAGAGATATATCAAATATTGTATAGGAGCAGTCAGCTATTAACAGGGAAGAATTAAAAGACGATTTTAAGAGGTGAAGGAATAACTTCAAATGTTGCCAGTTCAGACAAACTTGGGATTCAAATATATTGATTTTCAAGTCATTCTTCTGAATAAAGGATAAGCAGTTATTTCAACAAAACAATAATTATTTGACATTCTACATTTATATTTACAACAAATGCTATCTTATTGTACTGATATTATTTCATTATTACTACTAACAGTGATAATACCCCCCTATTTTTCTATGACTTTCATAATTTTAAATGTTTTCACATTTTATTAGCTTACCGAAAGCAACAAAAATTTAGAAGGAGCCCGAATTTCCAGATTTTCTGACATTGAAAAAAAATCCCAAAACTGGTTGTTAAGATATGCAGGCATCTACTGTCACCTATGCTGCTGAAAACACCGTACTCAGGAAACTAGGCAGCCGTGTTTGATGTTTACTTAAGCTGCTCCAAAATGAATATAAATGGCTGTCTGACATGTGAATGTGAAAATGTGGAACCAATCCTATTTTATAGAACACAAGCCTTCAGCATTTGGGGCACCTAATTATTTTGATGATAGGTGAATTTTACCCTTGATCACATGGCTTACAGCTAGAAATCTGTTTCATAGGAGAATATTTCATAGCATGCAATAAATCCTAAAAACAATGCTATAAACACTCAAACATACGGCATCAGTTAAATCGCAGGTTCAAAAAGAGCTTCATTCCTTTAGAAGACAATCTGGATAAAAAATAACGTAGGACATACAACAGAATTTTTGATTTGCTGAGAAGTTTTACTTTTTTCTCTCTAAAGAACTGTTATATTTTTAAAAAAGATGGATTGAATTATTTTATTTTCTTCAGTAATTAATTGAGCATTGTTTCCTTTCATTGTCACTTAAATTACAGCTATTCTTAAAACTACCCAATTTTTTCTTTATTTGGTAATAAAGCTTAAATTTGGACTGGTACAAATAATTTCACATTCCTTCTGCTTTTGAAGGCTGGTTCTGAATTATAATAAACAGCCTTTCTAGACCAGACTCCTTGAAATTCAGTCTTGCTTTACTGTTTTTGCTCTTTAGACTTCCTACCATTTCAAGGTAAAACTGTTCTGGCCACACATCTGGAAAAAAAAAAATCTAAGTTTAGGCAAAATGATCTTGTAGAAAGCTTTAGCTCTTTGCACATGATCATAGCAGGACTTTAAGGGCCAAAGCTCAGCCAATGACTCTGCCCAGTAAGTGTTTTTAAAAAAGTACCCTCTCTTCCAAAGATTTCATGAAAAACATTTAGGAATATAGGCTTTAGGGTATATTACAAAAGAGATGAGCACTATTTTACCATTGAAGCAGATCGACTGCTTGTAACAAGGCTTGATCCACCATAGTTTGAATTGAGGCTTCCAATTGATGCATTATGGGATGGTCCCAATAAACTGTGTATATCACTGTGACCAGCAGGTAAACTGGTGGACGGTCCCACAGCATGGTTCCGCAGCACATGGATAGCATCATCCAGTCTGTCTAAACGATCCTCCATTCGAGATTGCTATAGGGATTGAAAAAAGACATGGAGGTTACTGCTGGTATCTGTTAAATTATTAAACTGCTGTTTCCTACTTTGGGATATATGGAAGACAGCAAGTAAAATGTACTATCAAGTAACTTCAAAAGCAACTACCTGCACTACAATCAAGAATCAAAGAAAGGACATTTGTTGACTATGCATAATTAACACAGCTTCAGAAACAAATCACTGCTTCATTAAATCTATTTACCAATCTACCATGAGGCTATTTCTTTTAGCTTCCTACAAAAGATGAAAGCTATTCTGCTATGTCTGATAATTACAGGTGATAAAAAAGATAACCTGGACTTTAAAACCGATCTTTGAAATGCAAGCAATTTAGGGAAGGGTCCTCAAATCCATCAAGTTTAAGGTGTAATTTTGTTTTAAGTGAATAAAGCACACCTATCTGAAATGGTGAACACACCCAAATATGCTCTTTCACAAAACTGAGGGAATGATATTGTCTGTGGATACACACATGCCCCATACACAAACATATTAGAATTTTAAAAATCAAAAGCACATGCCAGTAGAGCTCTTTTAAAAGGAATCATTCTCAATAACATAAAAGAACAAAAGTCTATTCTTACATACTGTACAAAAACGAAAATGGTCATTGTTTGATTTTAAAAGACTTTGGAGTCTGTACAGGCTTGAAGATTTTAAATGGATAATAGGAAGTATAATTAATTGAAACATAAAAAAGGCACCATCTAAAAGAAATAGTACCTCACAGACATCCTTTAAGAAGGACATTGCATCTTGCAAATGCTCGTGAAGTTGCTGCTCAACTCGATTTTTCTGGCAAAGTCAAGACAGAACAGGAGGCAAAGCACAGGTTAAGATTAACTCCAAAAGAGATGAGGAAATAGCTGATGTGCATGTCAGCATAACATGTTAGTAAAGTTAACACGGAGACCTGCAAGATCTACTTGTATTAAGGTATGAGAAGGCTGGGATTTAACAGCGAAGTTATAAGGTTAGCATCTAAACAGCACACATTGCTTATATTTGCTTGCAAAATATGAGAGAAGAAGACTTTCCTTTCAATTGTTCTGTTAGTCACAGAAAAAGAACTTTTCTGTTTGCAACCTGGAATTACTGAATGATAGCATGACTTAGCATTCCATCAAGTCACCCTTATTTTGTTTTTATAATACTTTGTAATTCTGTGGTAAGCACTGAAAAGCAACAGCAGTTAACATTCTACCACAAATTCTTCGCGCTCAATACCTAGACAGGCTCTTTTATTCTACTGCCTTATTCGTTTTGTTAAATAACATTTTTGCTTTTACAATGAACACAATACATTTTGTTAAAAAAGAAAACATGGGAAATAACACTTTTCATGACAAATATGATTGATATTACATTTTAAACTTTTAATGGAAATGTGATAAACCATATACAGAATAGTCACATGAGAAAGAGTAAAATATATAATTTTCCACTGCTCGACTAATTTTCTTGCTTTTACTTGGTCTCTGTGCCTTTTTATTTGTTTCCTCTTATATGTAAACATAAAAGTACAGAAGAATTCAACTCCAGATTTATCAAAGAAGCAAAAATCCCGTAACTCTATTTTAACACCAGTTGTCCTGAGACCAGAAGCCTGAGGTCCCAAAGAACAGATGGCAAAAGGCATACCCAATGTGTCTTATACTGTTAAACTACATCAGGCCATTTGTTAGCAAAGAATTCGTGTGTAATGCTATCCTACTGTTTTTTTCACTCAAGATTTACTGAAAAAACGCACTCCACACTATCAGATAAAAGTGACCTGTATATTCCCCTAAGAGGCTCTTACCAGGGAGTGGAGTGAGTTTTCATAGCTTGGGGATGAAGGAGCTTGCCCTCCAGCTCTGGGCCACTGACTGGTACCTGTTAAAACAAAACACAAAAGCACACATACATACATACCTTGGTTCACTCAATGATCTTGATAATGTTCTGAAAGAAAGGGTAACGATGTTCTGTGTATATAAACTTATAATAAGCATTTTTTGTTCAGCCTTCAGCGTAGTATTAGCTACTTACAAGCCCAACACATTAAAAAAAACCCTTTTTCATTATTAATACAACAGTATAGGGAGTTAAAAAAAAGAAAAAACTATACTTTAAAAAATAACAACTTTTTAAAAATTTGTATTAGTTATTATTAAGTATTTCTATTACTTTGTAACAAAAAAAGCAGAAACAGACCCATGAATATAGAGAACTGGTGGTTGGCAGAGGGGAGGGGGAGTGGGGGGAAGGAAAAAGTGGGTGAAGGAGTGGGAAGGTACAGGTTTCCAGTTATGGAATGAATAACTCATGGGATGAAAGGTACAGCATAATCTAGTCAATGATACTGTAAGAGCATTGTATAGTGACAGGGGGCAGCTATACTTCAGTGAGCACAGCACAACATATATAGTTGCTGAGTCACTATGCTGTACACCTGAAATTAATGTAACATTGTATGTCAACTATACTTCAAAACAGAAAACAAAAACAAAAACTACTTTTATGTTTGCATATTCTTCAGACTTTGTCCATAAGCACACATTATCTTGAGAAAATGTTCTTTTTTTTTTTTTTAAAGATTTTATTTATTTATTTGAGAGAGAGAATGGGAGATAGAGAGCACATGAGAGCGGGGAGGGTCCAAGGGAGAAGCAGACTCCCTGCTGAGCAGGAAGCCCGATGCGGGACTCGATCCCGGGACTCCACGATCATGACCTGAGCCGAAGGCAGTCGCTTAACCAACTGAGCCACCCAGGCGCCCGAGAAAATGTTCTTAAAATACACGTAATTTAAAATTCTGTTCCTCCCCCATGGCTTTATACAGTCTTTATGATAATGTTATTAATGATTATATTAATATTCACCTGATTCTCTAGATCATAATTTACTTAACCACCATTATTACCTCCCTATTGGATGTTTTGGTTGCTTTCAGTTAGCTATCACGAATAGTATGTAAATATTACTATATTGTGAATGGTAAATATTGTTATTTTCTTTTTGGGAACACGTCTTGAGGATAAATAGCATTTCTTTCTTTCTTTTTTTTTTTTTTTAACTGGAGCCCAACATGGGCCTTGAACTCATGACCCAGCGATCAAGACCTGAGCTGAGGGGCGCCTGGATGGCTCAGTCGTTAGGCGTCTGCCTTCGACTCAGGTCATGATCCCAGGGTCCTGAAATCAAGCCCCACATCGGGCTCCCTGCTCTGCAGGAGGCCTGCTTCTCCCTCTCCCACTCCCCCTGCTTGTGCTCTCTCTCTCACTGTGTCTCTCTCTGTCAAATAAACAAAATCTTAAAAAAAACCCCAAAAACCTGAGCTGAAATCAAGAGTTAGATGCTTAACTGACTGAGCCACCCACGCACCCCAGGAATAAATAGCATTTCTGATTTAAAAGGTATAAATATATTTATGATCCTTAATTCACAAAGCCAAATTGTTTTCTAAAGTGTCTTATTATTATAAATTATACACAAATGAACCAATTTCAAATGACTGCAAATACATTTACGATTATCTATTAAACACTTTCCCAATATAATTTACACCAAAACACATTATTTAATTTGGAAAATATCATTATGAAAGTTGTTAAATGTTGTTTACCCTTCAACTTTAGAAAAGTAAACATAAAGAGAAAAAAAGTTCATAGTAGAAAAAAGAAAAAAACTATAAAAAAAATGAAAATGTTAACCCATCCATGTGTTGGGGAGAATGCAGTGTTTATTTTTTTTATTATTTTTTATTTTTTTTGGAATGTAGTGTTTAAATGGTCATGCCAAAATAGCTTAAAAAATTGATCAAAAATCCTATTTCATGACTGTGCATTTGGAAATAAATTATTTACAGAAAATAACAAAAACCATTCAATTAAATACATATTATTGTTTTTTATAAAAGCTTCAGTGACAACCTGAGTTATATTAGAAATCCGAAGTTGGAGAACTCAAAGGTTTACTTAATTTGTCTCATTTACTGCTAAATGAAGTTTTAACCTATGATCCACCAAGCCTGTTGTTGCAGATTATTTGCTATATTTAGGAAACACTGAAAACTTATAATAAATAGTAACTATTATAGTTCACTTTAGTTGAATAACCTAGTAACTGCATCCCCATCAATCATATATTTTGCACGTTGAAAAGTTGGATACATAGATTCTTAACCTGATTGTTTTCACAATTATATGCACACTGTCGTGATTACATAGAAGAAATTTAGACACTAATATTGTAAGAAAAAACGTGTTAATATACTTTATCAGCTAACAATTTTATTTTTACTTGTAAGCAATCACAATATTTTGAGGGCCATTAAAGGTTTCCTGCTAAACATACAAAGGTAATCCTAATTCAACTGCACAAATTATGGACGATCTAAAATTGCGCATTGAAACAGAAGCTTGTGAACTAAATTTATGTAAGAAGTAGAATTCAGCAACCAGAGAAACCCAGTAACTGACTATATGAAAAATTCACATAAACAGCATTTCTGTTCAGCCCACACTCTACCACTGATTTTAGTGCATTAGTGTGTTCCAAGCACTGATGTAGAACTAGGAATTTTATGTGAATAAGAGGCTACTCATAATCCATTTTGAAAAAGACCCCAAATTACTTTGAAAGTAGTTTCTTTTAATGTTTACAATATTTTATTTTCAGACATTTTGCTCCATTTTTCCCATTTCCCTTTGGGTGATCAGCCTGTAACAGGGCCCTAATCATCAAATTATTTAATCTGTATGGGATAGTAATACAAGTTTTATGTTTAAACACCTCAGGATTGTTAGCAAAACAGGCAATTTTTGTGGTTCTTCAACTAGTTTAGTGTTGAGGAATGAGATGTGCAATGAGTTACTTAGGTAAGAAATCACCTACACTCATTATTTTTTGATAGTGATATGAAGAAACCATGCTAACGTCTATATCCAAAATGTAATTCATTAAACTGGAAAAATACACATACACTCAAACCTGTTTTGTTGTTATTATAGATTGGGCTGCCCCATTATGACATACTTGGTTAAAACAGAATACTAACATGCTTAAATCACTGATACCTGTTTGAACTTCATAGAAATGTCAAATTATAGTTCATGGACAGAGCTCCTTGCACCCCAGTTAGTCCTTTCAAAAATTCATGCTATTAGTCACAAAGGGGATGACTGGATAGAGTTAGTTCAGTAGAAGTCAATCCTATAGCTGATGTTGGCATCTCTCTCTCCAGCTTGTAATCATCAACTGTAGCATTATTACACAAATATGTCAGAGAAAAGGGTATTTCCTGCCTTCCTTCCCTGTCACCTGATATCTAGTGTAGAAATACCTACACTAGAGGTAGGGGCTTACCCTCACCTTCTATTAGATAAGCACAAGCTTTCAACTGTTTTTGTAGTTAACAATTTCTACAAACACCTGGGCCTTTTAGGGATCACCCCAAAGAGCTAGCTCTTATTCAAGGACTGTAATACTTACCTGCTATTAAAATTTAATGACCGTTTCCAAAAAACAAGCTAGCTAGGTGATTAGTAGAGGAGAACTGAATTATTTGGCTAGAAAATGTGGACAGGCTTTCTTTGATCACTAAATCCAAAATCCACCTAGTGTTTCTGACCTGCTCTCATTCTGAGTGGAACTTAGAGTTAACTGGTTAATAAATTTAGAGACTAGATACCAACATATTGAATGGCTGAAAGAAATTCTTAGGACCATTTATCACGCATTTTCTTATTTTGTTAGTTGCTTTCCCTTGTAATCTCACTTTAAACTCAAACTTTCATGAGATCCCTTGTACTTGGAAAAAGTTGGATAATTCTTAATGTAGCACTGAGTGCTTTGCTTTCCATAATTTGGCTCTTGCCAACCTTTCCATCTTAGTGCTTCACACTTCCATACGTGAAGAGTTCATAATCAGTCATCCCCATGACTCTGGATGGAGAAGTCATGTGCTTTCTTGCATCTGGATCTTTGTTACACTGTTCCCTTTAGACCCAGACTCTTTCTCCTCCTTTTAAAGTCCTGCTCTCTTCATGAAGTTTATCCCGATCACTCTAGCTTAGAGTGAATTCTGATGGCTGTATTTTTGTGTATTTATCTTTTATTTTCTCAGCTAAACTGAACACCTGCTGAAATCAGATAAATGCCTAATACCAGGCACACTGACAGATGATAAAAATAAATATCTCATTGATTAAACTAGCCAAAACTAAGGAATCTTTTCTTCCTCTCTATTTCTACTGTAAATGTTCTCAAGATTGCTACTGAGCACTGCAATTATTAAACCTTTATTTATATTCCAGAAGGAGGTAAAGAAAGGCAAAACATGGTTTTGCTTGTCTGCTTCCAAAGTTCCCTTAATAAACACACCCTTTTAAATACTTGTGTCCTTTCCCGAATGGCAACTGTAATAGACATAGTCATCTCTTCTACCTTGCTGCTGGAGCCCTGATTTTGTTCAGAAGGCGGGTGGGGTATCTATCCTTTCCTGGTGTGAACCAGAAAAGAGTAACTCTATTCTTAGCTTTTGGGGTAAATCCTGATGCCTAACATAAACATGGTGGTCCCATTTCTGTTGTGAACAAGTGTGTAAGGGGCCCAATGCTGGCCAAGGACTCATGAGAGCCAATCTGTTGAAGAAGCTTCTGAAAAAGATTCTTAAAATACAAGGAAAAGATGGTCCTTTTTCTTCTCCTGAACACTGTTTTGTCCACATACGGTACCTTGAACTGCTGAACTTGCCACCAGCCTGAGGAAGAACTGCAAAGTAGTAGAGCAGGAGCTCTGACATACTAGGGTCCAGGAACTTGCCCTGCTATGGGCTTCTTGTCGTACAGGATCAGCAATCCCCTCATTATTCAATTAAAGCCAGTCAAGACAAGAGTCTCTCTTCCTTTCAGCCTACAGCATCCCGATGGATACAATATCACCATCTCAGAAGTTCCTCATAAGCACACTCTAGGCAGAAACATATGTTCTTGGCCTGAAAAGTTCCTAAGGAAAATAAGTGGAATTTAAACAAGAATGGTGGTTGCCTCAGAAGATGCCTATGTGGCTCTTGACCTGTTTATGTCTCCTCAAAGGCCTAGGCCAGTCTGACTGATGCTCAGGCATAGAGAACAGGACAAGTGTAGAGAGCACACAGTGGGGTAGAATTTTTTACTCTAGATAACAGGCCACTGCAATACAAGGTACCAAATTACTTTCGCATGTTATAATAGAAGCTCTGGTTTGCTCCATCTTTTTCATTTTTCCTTCACCTCTGAATAATTTATCACATTGTGCTTTCCTTTTTCCTTCTCCCTTTACATTTCTGCCAATTTAGGGTGTGTAGTATATGTATGTGTGTGGTGACAGGATGGAAATACTAGATACAGGAGATGGGAGAGATGCACTTGCATAAAATCAGTCTTTGATGTGCTGTTTCAGTAGGAATATATGAAAGAAAGAATTTTTCTTCCATTATGACTGCCGAATTGAAAAAGAAGCCTATTAATACCTTCATTACACACTTCAACAGACCATAGATTTTCATTAATGAGCTGAATTAAAGGGGGGGAAGGTATCACCTATTAAATATCAAATAAAGATGGAGGAGGAAATGTGAGATTTTACTTTGGACCATTATTTTTTGAAAAATGTCTAAGTCTCTGATTCTCCATTTTAGTGAAATCCCCTCATAAATACTGAACTCCTCTGCTGCCTGACTTCCCACCCAGTATTAATAAAAACCAAAGGACACTTTTACAGCTCACTGGGCAGAGGAGGCGAGGAGGTGGGAACACACAGTAAGGACAGATATTCTCATCTGATGAGAAAGGGAAACAGGCTGTGGCAAAAATGACACTGATAGCTTTAGTAAAACTGTGCCAGAAGGGTGAGCAGGGTTAAAGTTACATCATTCTTCCTGTAATTTCAGCTCTCTGTTAAATAACAACTTTAAGTCAATGGGTCTTTCATAGTCCTGTCTATGTGGGGAACAGCTGTTCAACTTGTACTTGACAGCTGAAGCCACGGGGTCTGAGAGAGTGGCCGAGCCCACTAAGAGCCGAAAGCAGCTGCCAGCGGTTCAGTCCATCACCCTACACCAGAGCGCTTCTTAGAGGAGGCCCAGAGCCAAGGCGCTAAGCACAGGTGACAGTCAGGGCCCTGATACACCAGAAACCTTCAACAAGGCAAAAAGGTTTAACAACAACAAGAAAGCCACAATGACTTGATCAGAAAAAGAGAATCAATGCTGAGGTCAACTGCTGGAGGAGTAAGGCAATTTTTACCCAGCTGCCTAATGTCTTTTCCTCACAACTAATATATTTCTTCTTCAGCATGTTTTTTTTTTCTCAAACACTGCTCAGAAAAATATAATTCGAGTTTTAAAATTATAGCTTAATAAATATTAAGCACTTCCCTATAATTTTATTTCCTTCTAATTTACAATATTTACAATAATAACTGTACCTCAACAAATTTACAATTCCTATTTACAATAATAATTGTACCTCAACAAATTTATACTATAGGATAGTGACTGGAACTTGTTACAGCAAATGTGGAAAAAAACAGGAAAAAGTAAAACAAATCTGAACCGCTTCTCTAACTCACTAACAATATTCATCCACATTGACAGAAACTTCCTTAGCAAAAAGCTACACTATTCCCAAGAATTTATATATATATATATATATATATATATGAAATAATAACTTAGTGGACCTAAAAATAAAGACAAACTAGTAGAAACTTACTCACTTCTAAGTCTTATACATGGTACATGGAAAAGGCAGAGAACAAGGAAGAAAGAAGTTACATGTTCTTCTAAATAGGGTATTCTGTTTACTTTCTATGTTACCTTACCAAAAATTTTGAATTATCTCCTTCTTCTATTTTGCTTTCATCCCAATTGTCTAACCTCATTTTTGTCCTGTTATAACAACCGTTCTTAGAAATTATACCAAATTAAGAATTGGAAAAGAATAATTCAAAACTAGCAAATATTTTAATATTCAAAATGAACAAGAGGAAGGCTCTGTTTACATATTTTCTCAAAATTCAGATGATTTTTCATGAATTTTTACTAGATTTTATTGGAAAATAAACAAAGTTCAAATATTTCAAAGCAGCCCAATACACGTTTTTAAGTCAATAGATAAAACAGAAGCCTACCTGTGAGAGGTGAGGGTGATCCAACTGGTGTTGACGGATTTGATGGAAAACTACTGCTGGTATGGTCAGGAGAATAAATCTAACCAGAAAACAAAATATATATTTATCAATATGTGACAACAACAAAAATAGAAATCCATTTGCATGGAGTTATTTTTATAATCTAAGTTGCCACCCCTAAAACTCAAGAGTGAAAAACTGGTTTCATCAATTTAGGACTATTCCATTACATGAAGGCTATATATAGTTTTAAAGCTAGGATTAAAAAGTATCTTATATATTCTCGGGGCACCTACCTGGCTCAATCAGTAGAGCGTGTGACTCTCATGAGTTTGAGCCCCATACTGGACACAGAGACTACTTAAAAAAAAAGTATCATATATATTCTAATAATGAGAGGAATAAAATAGATCCTATCTATTTCTTTTACTATTCCACTTAAAAATTATTAAGGTTTCTTTTAGAACAAAAAAGAGAAGTGACTATGAGTTAACACATCTAATAAACAATTTTTCTTGGGGCGCCTGGGTGGCTCAGTTGGTTAGGCATCTGCCTTTGGCTCAGGTCATGATCAGGGTCCTGGGATCGGACGCCGCATTGGGTTCCCTGCTCAGTGGAGAGTCTGCTTCTCCCTCTCCCTCTGCTGCTCCCCCTGCTGTGTGCTCTCTGTGTCAAATAAATAAATAAAATCTTAAAAAAACCAACAATCTTTCTTAAATATACCATCCAAATAAGTGATATTCATTAAAAATAATTATCTCAGGAAACTATTATCTTTTGGCAATAGTCTTTAAAAACATTTTTAGGGCGCCTCCCGCATCAGGCTCCCAGCTGAGCAGGGAGCCTGCTTCTCCCTCTCCCTCTGCCTGATGCTCCCCCTGCTTGTGCGTGTGCTCTCTGTCAAAAAAAGAAAAAAAATGTTTTAAAAGCCAAAGAAGAAAAATTTTTAAATATTCTTTACTTCTTATTTAAAAAGTTCTCAGTTTGATCAACTACATTTTTGCCAAATTTACCTCCAAATGATGCATCATATAAAATTGAACTTGCTCCCAAAGGGTATCTTGTCACCCTTGAGGAAAGTGGAAGAAACCCTAAAAGTCCTTCAGAAAATGTTCCCAAAATGATTTGTGAATTTCACCTCCTAAGAGGTCCACTTCATTCATTCATTCATTCATTCATTGAGAGAAAGCATGCATGCATGAACTGGGCGGGGGGGGGAGGGGCAGAGGGAGAGAGAGAATCTTAAGCAGGCTCCACGCCCAGCACAGAGCCCCATGTGGGACTGACGTGGGCTTGATCTCACCACCCTGAGATCATGACCTGAACTGAAATCAAGAATTGGATGCTTAACCCAATGAGTAACCCAGGAGCCCCTAAGGGGATCCACTTTAAAACATGTGGATGCATAAATTTTGGTATTTTGGCTAAAAGTTTTGTTGCAATATTTTGTATTTATTTCATATTGCTAAAAAAATAGTGACAGAGAATAGTGACAAGTTTACTTAATTAACCATTAAATATTTTAAAAGTCTCTTTAATCCAAGTACTAAGAGTCCCTAGGAAGTTTTCTCTAGGAAATTCTATTTCTATTCTATAATAAGCATAATAAACCATCTTCACATCTTAGCACTTAACTTAGGGCAGACAAATCAACTTATGTGGATGAACTGTGGTCAAACATTTTAAAAAGGAAAACTACTTGTGGGTGAAAGGAGTCATCCAATAGAAATACCCTTGTTCTGAATAAGCTTAGAGCTCTAATGAATTTAAAGAGGCTCAAATTATGGCAAACAAGGGGGTCTCAGCATTGGTTTTAAAGACAGCATAATATGCTTGAAAAAGCCGGATACTGGGACAGGCTCATGAAAGACAAAATTCCACAAGTCATAATCATTAAACACAACAGCTTTTATTTTTCAAAAAGAAGAAAGCACTAATTGAATTGCAAGCAGCCAGAAAACCTATTTTCCTGTGACTACAAATGGATATACCTACCTCAAAGAAAATACACCAATTTGTATAATGTTACTAAATTCTAATTGTAAATGCCTTTAATCACCAACTCTCTCCAAACAGCCAGATCTAGAAGTTGTATATTCAAGTTAAATAAAGCCATTTTGGGAAAGCAAAACTATGGAGACTTCAAAAAATGTTATGGAAGGACTAGTAACAGAGAGGGTAGTATGTTGTATTAAGATCAATACTGTTGGTCTTAAAGTTGTTACCTTGTAAAAAATCAGGATGCACATGTAAAAATCTGCTAAAGGTCACATTTTTAGGAATAACTGATGCTAACTTTTATGAAATATGTCTTAACTATAATACTGGTAAGGGAGGGAAGAGTTGATAACATTGAGGGTGGGTGGATGAGCAGTGAGAAGTTTCAGTTTCATGCAAAACTTTGATTATCATCAAATAGACCAACTCGCTGTAAAGGTCACCACCGTGAAAGCATTGGAGAAACAGCACTGCCTCTCTGTCATACCCTGCTGGTTTTGTCATGTTTCTTCATAGTGTTCACATTGATCCTTAACTGTCTAAACTTGTTTACTTGTTTTGTATCTGTCTCTTAACTTTTCTTGCAGTAAAATGTATGCTCCAGGAGAGCTAGGACTTTGTCTTATTCAGACAAAACCTGAATTATATAGGATTTGCAGTAGCTTCAGATTCTACAACAGGGCTGGTAAATATATACTTGTTGAAAGAATGAATGATTATTATCCTTGCGAGAAGTAAGGATTACATCACTGGATGTAATCCTTAGGCTCTGTTTCTCTGTCATGCTTCCAGTTTCTTAATGTAGGTTTCTCTCAGAGCTCTAGTCTCGGTTTTCTTTTCTATCAACCGGTGTTTTATCCCTTGGTAATATCATTTCTGAAAGTATCAACTATGACATCTCTGTGAATGACATTTCTATGCTCATACTGGTTGCTGGACTTCTCCATCTGGACATACTCTTTCACTTCAAGCTCAATATGCCAAGCCAAACTTTGCATCACTGCCCCAAGCTTCCTACCCTTCCCGTCTCTACCCTTCTGTTTCCTCTACTTCGGCACCAGCATCCTCATGGTCACCAAATCCACTCTCTCTCCCCTGCCCCTTCTTCCCCCGCTCCACCCTTCCCACCACAGACTCCAATACCTGTAATTCTCTATGTTTCTGGGATAGGAACACATCTTTCTCACCGCTGTGACACTACTTTAAACCTTTAGTAGAACTTATGGAGGAATTATTTAAGTCGTTATATTTCTAGTTGCTCCCTGCTCTTTTTACCCCATATATAATTGCCTGAGCTATTGTCCCCAACCCGTTTTAAACAGTCAAACCCCATGCAGTACTTCCTGTTGCCTACTAAATAGAACAGAATGACATTTGATGTCTTCCATAATCTGGTCACAAAAATAAGCTTTCTACCTTATAACCTACGTATAAACATTATATACCCAATAATGCAAACAAAAGATGTATTTTTTTTCATTTTCTGAACATAGCTTATCCTTTCAAAATGCCTATTTCTTAATTGCTCCCTGATGGAATTCTACAACACATGATAGCACAGCTCAAATGTCACCTCCCCATTTACACTCATCTTCACCTCCTTTATACTCTTAGAATAATTATACTTTTCTTGAGTCTTTTACTTCACAGTATATTACACATGATCATTTTTTGTATACCTGTCATATCTTCTCTCCTTGACTGTAAGCTCTTTGAAGGCAGAGACCTTATAATGTTCTACATTGAATCCATCATTGCCTATCACTGTCTTATACAAGTAGGTGCTGAATGTTTATTTAAAAAAAAACTGGAGTAACTAAACTGCACTTGAAATCTGCTACAGCTACTTTTCAGTAAAAAGCAAGACTCAGTAGATAGTAGTATTTCTTAGTATTTATGTAATGGGGTTCAGTAACAGTAATACCAAAGAGGGTTAAAAGCTCTTGTTATAAAGGTGAATTCATTTACAAATCAGTTTTATGGTATAAGCTTTGAGAACAATGATATGGTGATGTTCCACTAATATTTCTGAGAATTAGTGTTGATGTATTAAGCTGTCCATACCACACTGTTAGGCAGGTGTGAGTTTTTGAGGGTATAAATAGACAATCAAGACAATCAAATGAGGGCTTAAAAAAAAAATCACTGTAAAAACACATACCAAATATAAAATGTATCAAGTGTAAAAATATATAATTTTGGTGTTTTTTTCAAAAACAGCTTCTCCGTTTGTATAATAAAAGGCATTTTCTCCACTCACCCATCACATTGTCTAGTTCTCCTTTGCCCTAAATTAAAGTGATGACAGACAGAATTGTTATTAATACCTTTCCTGAACTGACACATAGCCTGGCAAATTATAGGACTTTTCTTGTCCCTTCTACTTTCATAAAAAAGAGTGGGTATGTGGGGGATGCCTGGGTGGCTCAGTCAGTTAAGCGTTTGCCTTTGGCTCAGGTCATGATCCCAGGGTCCTGGGATCGAGTCCCATATCGGGCTCCCTGCTCAGTGGGGAGCCTGCTTCTCCCTCTGCCTGCCGCTCCCCTCTGCTTGTGCGCTCTCTCTCTGACAAATAAAATCTTTAAAAAAAGGAATGGGCATGTGGGAGAGGAGGAGCAACACAACATTATAAAAACAGGGTAATACAGCCTTTTAGATCACAGATCATTTCATTAAACTCACCTCTGTATGTTTATTCTATCACCAAATCACATACAAGTTAAACTTATTCTATGGGAAATTGTCGTTACTTTAAGAAATTCTAAAATTAGACTTTATTTGACAAAGAGCATTCTAAATCAGGATTTCATTACTTCTTGTACGTTCTGACCTTAAAGAACTCCTACACTGATGTTTGAAAGAAAAAGAAAAAAGTCAGTCACTTAAAAAATGGGGATGGGAGTGATTTAGAATGTAAAGCATAAACACAAAGTAAGAACTCATTCTGCATGCAGTCCATGGTCCTCATACTGTTAAATGACCAATGATGAATAACCCCCAATACCTTCTGCCAGGCTTAAACGGTAATATGCCTCATTTTACTGCAACAAATGAGGCTCCTCCTCCTATCAGTCATGGTCCATTCCAATCAGCAGGGTGCCAATAAGCCAGAAGCTAATGAAAAGGGCCTCAGACAAAAAAGAAACAATGAAGGGCTCCCAAGCCCAACCTTGGAACTGTGAGCCCAATTTTTTAAACACTACAGTGCACATTTCAGTTAATCTTTATTATGCTAATGTTATTGAGTCTAAGGAACAAAGAAACTTATTTCATGAATTACTTTTAAACGTCAACTTCCCTGAATTTTCTTTTCTTTTGTTAGAGACTACTGACCATTTAACTATCCAGATTAAAACACACACACACACACACACACACACACACACTCTCTCTCTCTCTCTCTCTCCCCCCGCCCCCCTTTCTCTCCTTTGCTCGGAGGTAGAAATCAAAACATAAATTATCACAAAGAAGTCTGATATAATCAACAAAGTTAAACAGTCCTCTTGTTTGATCTCCTCTAAATTAAAGACCAAGTGTTTTGATATGGTATTAGGCACTGAAATAAACCAGATGTTTCTTCCTCTATATAACTCTCCACGGGCACAATCTTAAAGGGTTATTGTCTGGCAAATGTTCAGGGAAACACATTAGAAATGGCACGAATACCCAGATTTTCCTTTCCTTCTATCTACCCTAGTTTATTATCTAAACTAATGCATAATCCACAGGGCTTTGGGAACTTTGTGTAAATACTTTCATGTACAATTCTCTTTCTAGCTATCCTGAGATTAAGACCACAATTATCCCGGCTTAAACCTAAAATAAAGGAACCTTTGCAAATGCATTATCTGGCCTTACATGTTTAATCACAGTATTCTGTGTGCTCTTTAATACCTAAACTAAAGAACAAAGGTTGTACCCTGTGATGTTTCACACATGAAAGATCTTCTAAGACATGTATCAGACTACTGGGGAGCTAGAAATAACTTCTAATGACAATAGCATACTGTTTTCTCCATCTAACACTAGATGCTCTATTAAAAATGTTATATTCTAAAGAACTTAAAATTTCAAAATACCCACGGTCACCATTTCCAAAGATCTGTAATACCTGACATAAAATTCTGATATGAATGTTAGACTCTCAAATGTAATCCTCAGAAAATTCCTTCTCCTCATCGCTTCTAATCCTTCCTACTCCCCATGTCATGTTTTTGTTTTTCAGTACAATCTGTGAGCGCTAAAGTGAATGTGAGTCGGTAACGGAAGTTAGAGAAAGAATGTGTTTTGGGGAGGTGTCTGGTGGGGAGGGGGCAGCAGATGGGTTGAAGGAAGGGATTTCAAGTGTGCAGACTATGGCATGCAGTGATGGAGCAGATGGAATGCATCACCGTCAGCTATGACAGAAGTGATTTATGGAATGACCTGGCTGCTCCTGCCTAGTAACAACACAGGATGACAGAGCTGAGTTTCCATGACAACCAAAGCCCACCCACTAACTAGATTAAACATTCTTCCCTGGCTTCCACTCATGGAGAATTTGGATTTTTTTTTTTTTCCCCTAGTGCCAACTGGTTTGGCTACTACGCTGGTCATAATATGGGAAACAGTCAACTATAAGAAGGGTAACTGAAAGGGAGCTTGAAGGACAACCACTGAGAACATCACAAATTTTTGCCTGCCTACCTGCCAAGGTTCCTTTACAGAAGTTTTCCTTGCATAAAATGAACAAAAGACTTTTGAGAAAAAAGCCCCCAAAATGCAGTTTGTATTTTTTAAAGTTGACTAGAATTGAAAGTTCAACGTTGTTTGTCCTCCTACATGTGAAATATCTGCTACTGGATTTTTTCAGAATCAACAGAAAATATGGTAAGCCAGTCAAATTCCTGGGAGGCACTCAGATTTAATATTATAGAATAATTTTATTTCTAAGCAGGTAGTTTTCATCAGGTGGGAATAAGTCCAGAAAATGTAGGACCACTTCCTTTAATCCTCATCAACATCCTGTAAAACCGCAGTCCCTGTAGCATTTCTCTTTCTGGAGAAACAGTAGTGAAGACAGTTGGTTCTTACCAGGTTCTTACCTAATATATATGCGCTTTACCCTTCCTAGCTTGGTGATCCCTAGGACAAACTACTTAATCTTTCTGAGCTGAAGTTACTTAACCTTTTAAACTTTAGTTCCTCATCTGTAATGTGAGGATAATAATGCCAACCTCACAGGGTTTTCTAGAGGATTAAATGAAACAAAGCACGTAAATGCTTAGTGTAATACCCAGTACCTAGTAAACATTCAAATTATAGCTGATATTCTTATGGGCTTTGTTCTTATCTTCACTATTTTTGTCATATGATGTGAGACTGAATTCAACAAGCATTTACTGAGCTCTATCTTTTGTGGTACCACCATGTGGTAGATGAGTTTGCCTTGGCTTTATTTCTCAAAGAACTTGTACTGGGATGCAGAGAAAGGTTTATTTACAGAAACTATATACAAAGAGGTTTATCTCCTAAATGTTCAATGGCTGCTTCCTCTACTCACACGTTAAGTGGTCTGCCTTCCCCAGGAACAGCAGTAAATGTGTCTGATAGAGTTAACTGCACTTCATAGAAAGTGTAAGACAACTCTGTGGGAATTCTGAGAGGCATACCATTCAAGGAGAAAAAAGGAAAAAGAAAAAGCCTACGGAGAAAATTCAGAAAGTACAAAGCAGAAGTGCCTCTTTTAAACAATGAGATTTGGAGTCTTTGTGAATTACTGGTAAATGCTCTCCCAAAAGAATTCTGAAAGAAGGGATTTCAGTTTTAATGTTTTAAGGATCAGCTACTAAAACAATCATTGCTTTGTCATTAATGTCCTGATATGATATAAATTAGCTGCTCAAGAAAATACTATGGGATTCCTTCAAATCAGTTTTACTCATGTTAGCATGAGTTCTTCAATGAATCTGGATTTTTTAGGGGAAGACTCTCCTATTTCTTGAATGAATCAGTTGCAGATGATTATTTTTCCTTTTAAAAAATATGTAAAATGCTTTCTGTCTTAGAAAAATTTCTTATGAAGGCACTTTCTTCTGTGGACCAGAAGAATAACGGAGTTTTCTTGGTTCCATTTGACTTACTTAAATGGGCAACTCATTAAGTATGTATTTAAAACTAATAAATAGATTTAACAATGAATCTCAGTAATTTCTGCTTTAGATCTAAAAATCCCCAAATTTCTCTTCTTTCTATGTCTGTTCCATTAAGTCAAAGACATATTTAAATTGAAGTTAGAAGGACAGGTCTTGTGGGGATGGGGTGGCAAGGTGTTCTGAGTTATTTTAAGGGCAATAAGAATCAATACACGCTGAGAACAGTTCTAATGGAGATATGAAGTTGATTGTTTTGTAACTACACCCCTTAACTATGACACGTACTGTCCACAAAATAGAATCAGCAGTGTAAAATTCATTCAGCAGAATAGGTAAAATCAATACTCACAGATGCCAAAGCCTTTCCAAGTGCATCACCTGTCTGTGAGCTTCCAGCAGCAGTCCCTCTGGTTCCTGAATATTTCAGGTAGAAAACAAATCAAGAATTTTAGCAGGCAGGAAGCTTTTTTTTTTTTTTTTAGCATTCTGCCATGATTTCAAAGGTGTTCTCTATCATTATCTCACCCACTGCAGCAAATATTGTGTATGTGTTACACTTAATAAGCTAAGTTAAAGATAGGTTCGGTACCAGTTTCTACATTAATGAAAATTAAAAAGTTTTTCTTCCTTTCTTTCACTTTAAAACTCAATACTCAAAAATATATTGAAAGATGTGGGGTTCATTGAAAATACCCAACGTAGGTTTTAGGGAGTTTTGCCAACCCAAAAAAGCTCACCTAGAATGCTATCTGATCCATTGATGGGAGGAGTGTGTGAGGCAGCAACATAAGGCGAATTGCTGGTACTGCCACGATGGAAGCTAGACATTGGTGGGAGACTCGTGTTTATGTCTGTTGGTGAAACTGAGTGTGGAGGATAGCTCTAGAGAAAGGGGGAAAGAGACATGATCTATTAAATACATTTTCTGAATAATATACACATATAACTGGACAACTACTATAACAGGTCAGAAAGAACATTACAAGTTAGCAGCTGAAGAGCACTACTACTGTCATTTACTTTTTTAAAAAGGCATGCTAAATGCAGTGAGCCTAGAAGTATTTCAAATGTCACAAGTTTTGGCAGAATCAAATCTTACACTTGTAATCCAAAGAGAAACACAAGTGAGGACCAAGTGCTGCTGCACCCTAGCCATGTGTTAGAGCCTACCAAGCGGTCATGTGAATGAAGGCTGCCGTAACTACTGGATTGAGACATGTGGGAAGTGGAGGTCCCCAGAATTCCACCAAAACCAGGCTGGCTCATCCCATTTGATGAACTCCAAAGGTCAGAAGAATTGTGGGTCCCATCTAAGATGAAAAGAGAAATATAAAATTGTCCTTAGCTAAAATTTTTTATTTTGATGATGCCGTAAGAATTCAAAAGGATACCCTCCAGATACTTTTCCCCCTCCCCTTTCCAACCCAGTCTTCTATCTAGTTTTCTTCCCTCAATTAATGTAAAAAAGAGGGAATAAAGCTCTAAAAAGTTAGAGGGGGAAAAAAAGTAATCCAAACTGCAGTAGGTAGGTTGTTATAAAAATCCTTGGAAGATTTAAATTCTTATCAAAGAGGATAATAAAAATCTCAAATTTGAGGATGGGTTGGATTTAATTTTGGTTAAATGGTATAACCATAAATATACCAAAAAATTCTTTATAACAAGCAATGTACATTATATCAAACATTCTGAAACTGTGGAATAAAGAAGTTTCTCTAATAGTAAACGTAAGTAATTGATAATGACTATATTATAGTCAGCCTTCAAATGAAATGTGTTAGCAATGACTTCACTCACCAGTGTAAAGTCAAGGAAGCGTTTATGTAGTGATTTATTGCTCCCATAGTATATGCTTTCCATAGTCCAAAACCATAGGAGACCAAATAAAAATTATTTGCTAGACATGAATTAAAGGAAATGCAACACTTTTCCTCTCTTAACAAGTCTTATTCTGTTCTTTGATTTTCACTCTTTATTTATATGATCATTCTAGGGGTGATAAGAGTCTGTAATTTAAATAAGAAACTAGAGTTGTTAATATCTTTCATTTGTTTAAATTCTAAAATGAGAAAGAGCAGCTCTACTCATTTTTCTCAACTGAAGTCCCTTTTAAGTTTGATTAATACTAGATGGGGCACTCCAGTGGTTTGTTGGATAGTCCAACTATATTGCAATCAGCAATAAATAGCATTAGAAATTTTAGACCTAAATTTTAATTTATTTTGACCAAAAATACCTAAAAATAATAAATGAATTCCTGTGTAGGTTTTCTCCTTCCTCACAATCTTAAAATATTAGCTAATACACAATAGATAACTGCTGTAGGATTGACAACTATTTGGCAGTACTTACCTTGCATAAAGAAAGTGCTAGCAAACATACTGGTTGGTGGTTTGGGAGATGGATAACTAGGAGATTCACGGTTGAAATCATCTGAATTTGGGGATGGTGCATATACCTTAAAAATTAGACAGGAAATTTAATTAAAATGTAAATGACCATCATATATATCACTTATGTAAAATGAGTGTTACATTTCATAAAGGGCCTAAAAAGTCCTCGCTAATATCTATAAAGAGCTGCCACAAATCCAAAGAATCTAAATCCACATATATAAATCTAACTTGGTTACTATCTACATATTTGTTTTTAGCTGATTACTTGAGAAAAATATTACTCCAAATATCCCATAATGCATCTTTGTGTGACAATTACACCAGGTGGTTGAATAAAGTCATAAATGTTGACTTTGCTTACAAAACACAAATCCATATAGGCTCATGATTCAAAATGTGGTAGTGGAAACAGTGTCTTTTGAATACAGCATGAAATAAATTTTCGGTTCATAACATTCATTCTTTTCACTGTTACAAGATTTATTGAAATCAAAACGAGTTAGATTAAAGGTTACTATACTTTGTTATTATTAAACGATAACCATAAAAGGCACACTGCAAGTTTTCAGAAACTTGCTTAACTTAGTAGGGTTAGCAAAATTAAAACCAAATTCTGCTGAGGGGTTCTAATTTCAAGTAAACTTTTAAGTCTGGCACAGCTTTAAGAAAAATCTTATTTAGGGGTGCCTGGGTGGCTTAGTCAGTTGAGAGTCTGACTCCCGGTTTCACTTAGGTCATGATCTCAGGATCATGGGATCAAGCCCAGCACTGGGCTCTGCACTAAATGCAGAGTTTGCTTGAGATTCTCTCTCTCCTCCCTCGGTCCCTCCCCCTACTCCTGCGAGTGGGCATGTTCTCTCTCTCTCTAAAATAAAATAAATAAAATCTTAAAAAAAGAAAAATCTCATTTAATTTGTCAGAGCAGTATTAATTTCCTTTGGTTAACCCTTGCTTCAGATAAGCAAACTATGAACATTTTGAATTGGCAAATAGCCAACATTGCCATTTCTCTGTAAAACTAAATGGGCAGTTAACTAACCTTAATAATCAAAACATGATAAAACCATTCTCATGGTGATTACTACAGTCCAGAAGGAAAACAAATAAACAATTAAGGTGATGCACACTCTGTAAAAGCAAAAGTAAACCAAGGGTCAGGAAGAATGGAAAGGTGTCCTATTGTGAACAGTGTAGGAAACATAAATTTCTTTCGTTTAGTTAGATAAGGGTACATCCATTAAATGTCATTCCAAATAAAAATCCTAAGTATTCACTTAAGTGAAAGAAAGTAGCTACCTTTTTAAAATTATGGGAGGATGTGTAAAAAATCATACACATATTTTTGGCATAAGCATAGAAAATTTCTGGGATTACACATAAGAAACTTAGTGGTTACACCTCTGGACTTAGAATTGGGAGGGAAGACATTTACTTTATGTCCTTCCACATAGTCTGGTATTTTATCCTGAGTATATCTATGCACTAATAAAAAAGCTGAGGAAGCACACACTGAGATTAAAATGTGCACCAAAATTTTATTTACATAAACTATCATTTATATTCATTTATTCTTCCTCTGAGGCATTAACTAACTATAAAGACTCTTGACAAATTACCTAAGCTTCCAAGACTCAATTTCCTTATTGGTAAGATGGTGCTAACAGTACTTGCATCAGGGGGTTGATGGGAAAATCAGATGAGATAATACATATACAATGCTTAGCACAGTAAGCACTAAGTATTAGCTAATAGTATCTCAATCATCTTTCTGTCATTCTTGTAGAAGCCGTTATTCTACAAAATATTGCCCTTGTTCAGTTCCTGAATGCTGTTCTTACAGTTTTTGTCTGCATAATCCTACTTATAACTATAACTGATTCTAAATAAAAGATTGAAAAGTCTATTTTTACTTTTCTTGCTAGTTGGTTGCATACCAGCACAGGTGTTTCTTTTCAATGGATGACATTTAGGTTAGTTTCCTCTCCCATCCCAGAGGTAAAGACTAGACACACCTGTGGTGCCTGAGGAGTTTGAGACAAGATGGATTCCTAAGAACTACCTAGAAAGACCGTAGATAAAGGAATATGGCAGATAAAATGTGTTTTCTTCCCCATTACAGATATTAAATGTATTTTTCTAGTTTAGTGCTATTACACAAGATAGTGTCACAGTGAAATAACTGGGTATATACAAATGTATTTGGAATGCTGATGGGCAGGAAAAGTTTTCAGGAAAGGAATTTTGCACTTTTTTCTTTTAATCAAGTGTCAGTATCTAAACTTAGCCACAGCTAGATGTCCTCTGTCCTCTTTATACAAAGATTTTTCCAAACTAGGCTGAAACTACAATGAAGAATGAAGTAAATCCAAAGACCCAGCAAGAAAATACATATGAGAATAAAATTTAGAAGACAGCATTAGAACATATGCTTCTTGTCACAAATGCTTATTTTATTTACTATATACACCATCACTTGATCTCAAAGTATGAAATACAAAATTCTCTAATTCTATCCAGGTTATAGATTGAAATAGTATGTAAGCCTCCAACTTATGAAAAAAATTCCAGTTTTGATGTGTCATCTCACACACACAAAAATCTACATAATTTGTCAATTTAAATTATAATTTGTCAATTTATATTTATTTATCCTATTCCCAATTCAATTCACTGTATTCCATACATAGTATACTTACACTTTAAAAAATTCTAAATGTTTGCAATTATAAAAGCAATTAAAGGATAAATCTGACTGTACTGACTTACAAATCACAGTTAAATAAAGGAGAATATGCTGATCATATAATGGTTAATGATCGCTGTCATGGAAAACAAGAAAACCAAGATAAACCATACAAAGCAGAAGAGACTAGCCTATTCGTATGTAAAAATTTTAAGCTGTACGGAAAAAACAGGGCTCATTTTAGAGGTAAAGTTGTTTTTAATGTTAGTCTTTATAAACAGAGTTTGAAAAAGAATAAATGGACTTTTAAAAGATAGATCTTATAAATGAAAATGGTGAAAACTCTAAACTGTTAAAAGTTTATCATTTATTTACTAACATAAGTTCAAAGTTTTTAATCATAATAAAAATGTTTTGAAAAACGTCGTTCTCAAAGAGGCCCATCTAACAGCATTTCTAACACCAGCCAAATAACTTTACTTTTGGTATCTTAACCATAGCTTGCAAAAACATAGATGCAATGTTATGAAGCAGCAGTTGCGCCAGTCTCAATTTCTCAGATCAAAGAGTTCTTGCGGCAAAGCGCAACTGATGTGGTCTCAAAGACTTTATTAACTCCAGATGTAGGGAAATAGTCAGCCAATTCCACAAAAAGAGCAAGTCTCTTTTAGTTACAATCAGTACTGGCCACAAATTAAAACCAGACTGCTTATGTCATCTGATCACCTGCACATAGATGCCAGTTTTTTTTTCCTCCTAGTTAATGATCTAATCAGACGTTTACATCTTAAGTATGATTTTGTATCACAACAAACAATCTTAAAATTAAGAGAAAGGAATATGTATGCTTTAAGATGATTAAAATCTACCAGGAATCAAACTATTTAAAAGAGAAATAGAGGGGCGCCTCGCTGGCTCAGTTGGTAGAGCTTGAGACTCTTGATATCCGGGTTGTGAGTTCGAGCCCCACGCTGGGTCTAGAGATTACTTAAAAAAAATAAAATCTTAGAAAAAGGTACAGTTAAGTAATTTAAGATATTCCAGTAAAATGTGGTCGATATTTAGAACTTTTCTTTAGAATTCTAACTTCCATTTCAGAATGTCAGGCTCACAATTGTTATCATGGGACTGTCTTTCTTCTTTCCCAAGCACTTACATTTTATCCTCTAGGTATGGTGATGAGAGAAATTTTGAGTGTCTGGTGAACAGAACTATACCATTTTTTCCAACCTGAATGAATATTACTGAAAATCTAAGATACCTCCCTGTTAAGTCTGGCTGAACAGAACGAATCCACATCAATATCTCTAACGTCCTCATCTCATCCTACCCAAACTTTTTAAGTGACAGAGCACTTCAGGGATGAATATTTATAATTACTCTTTACAGTGATTACACAATTATCCTTGGGATGTTTTAGCTCATTCAACCAATTGAAGTCAAGTTAACAAAAACATTCCTTTTTACTTGCTTGGATGATTCAGTTTAGTCATATGGATAACTCCATATTCAGAGCAGATCATTCTCTGTTTAGCTCTAAAGGCTGGAGCTGTGCACTGTGTTCTTGATTTCAATGCATACCTCCTGTGATTAATACTGGAAACATCCCTGTCAAGCAGGGAGCCATAATGATTTTCTGATAGTTATATTAAGAAAAGATGCAAAGAAGTAGTAGCTTTTGCTAAAAACGTTTTCCTTTTTCATTTTGTTTCTGTTTTTTTAAATCTTGTCACATCCAGTGATGGGTTAAAAGACGATGTCACTCCCCATGCCTTTAAAAATAGATCCATAGCCTGTGCGGTGGCTGATATTTTTAAATGCCCCAAATGAGGAGGAGATGAGTTGGGAATTTTCCTTAGTATGTGAGAATAGCTATAAATCTTAATTAAGATACCCTTCCACCGAAAATGAGAGGAATGCTTTAGATGAGCACTACCCAATAGAGGTTTCTGTGATGATGAATATGTTCCACATCTGTGCTATACAATATAGTAGCCACTACTTACATGTGACTATTGAACACTTGAAATATGAATAGTACAGCTGAGGAATTGAATTTTTAATTTTACTTTAATTAAATAGTCATATGTGACTAGCGGTTACTATATTGAACAACATAGGTTTAGATCATTTTTCATTACTCAGTTTAGAATTGCATAAATTATTTTGAAAGAAATATTCTTGGAGTCTCATAAGCCCAAGGCCTATGAAAACCAAAATCAGCCTAAACTGTCAAAAAATTTAGGAACATCTTCACCTGATTTGGAAAAAAGAAAGATGGAGGAGCTTATCCATTTTTCTGAACATGCTCTAACACAGTAATTACTATCAAGATTTCATTATGTTTCGGCTTCTAATAGCTCTAAGGTCAAGATGATT